CATGGCATTGGCACCCTCTGCACACAGCGCCTCCCTGAATCCTGCAAGACAGGTGCCCTTTAGGCCCATTTCACTCAAGGGGGGTTGAGACATAGGGAAGCGGCATTGGCCTGTGCAAACTCACACATCCGTTCATGTCAAGGTGGGTGCAAACCGTGCCCTTGATTTATGAACTGAGGAACTGACTTCTGAGAATCCAAACCAGGAGCTAGTGGTGGAATCAGGGGGCCGAGTGGGCAGCCTGGGCTAGCGTTTGCTTTCTAAAATCCTTATTATGAAGAAAAGCACTCCCAGAAGAAAGTGCACAAAAAGCAAAGACACACGGCTCCATGATCTATTACACCAGCCACGTCAAGAAATAGGACGATGCCAGCAACACAAGGCCCTTTACCCCTCCTGACCACTGCCCCTGCTCTCTTTACAGTTTCTCATACACAAGCACCCAGCCCTGAATGGAAGTGTGCCCTTTCTAGAAATGGAATCATACTTTTGCATTCTTTTGGGTCTGACTGCGTTCACTCAACATTCACTCAATACCTACCCACAAATATTTTCCCTACTGTAGGACACTGACCTATCACAATTTTATTGGTCCTTCCATCAGTGAATGTGTGGGTTGTTTCCAGGTTATAATGAACACTAGAACTGCTATGAACAATTATGTACATATTTCTTGGTATATGTATTTGTGTGTGTGTGTGTGTGTGTGTATGCATTTCTGTTGGGTTTATAAGTGTATTGATTACCTAGAGCTGCCACAACTAAGTACCACAAACTGGGTGGCTTAAAACAACAGAGAGGTATTCTCTGACAGTTTTAGAAGCTAGAAGTCTCAAACTAAGGTGTCAGCAGGTCTATGCTCCCTTTGAGACTCTAGGGAGAATCTTGTCTCTTCCCAGCTTCTGGGGGAAGCAAGGAACACCCATGTTAGAGCTCGTCGGCTTACAGCTAGGCCACTCTGACCTCTGCTTCCATTCTCACACGTTCTTCCCTCGTGTCTTCACACGATCTTCTTATAGGGACACCAGTCATATAGCATGAAGGGTTCACCCTACTCCAGTATGACCTCATCTTGATTAAGATGCTATTTCTACATTAGGTCACATATGGAGGTTTTGGGGGTTAGGACTTCAACATATCCTTCTAAGGGGACACCATTCAATCCATAATAATAGTTAAGAGTGGAATTGCTGAGTTGTCTTATCAGAGTCTGAGAAAGGACGTGAGTGTAGAGAGCTAACTGGTGCTGTGGTGTCAGGAAGCAGGACTGAGGGCAGCGCTGGGACCAGGGTGAGCTAAGTGAGGTGTCAGGGGTACAACATTCAAGGCAGACACTCTCAGGGCTATGTCCTTGCTGCATCATCCTCGTGCAGCTCTGAGGGAAGGAGTAGACAAAATGTGACAAGGAAGGGAGAAAGCCAACAAAGAGCTCCTTGATTGTCATTATGGGCAATCAGGGCTCAGTCCCATTGGGAGCCTCTAAAGAGCCCGGTAGACCGTGCCTCCCACTTGTCCCACAGAAAGATGGGAATGCCGGGCATTCTTCCACTAAAACTCCTGTGCCTTACTGGTTTTAAGTCGTCCCTCAGGGCACTAAAAATCTCCCGTGGGCTGCTCTGAAGCAGCTTCCATGGCACTGGAGAAAGGTCTTGGGCAGGGAAGCAGGGACACACGGGGGCTTGCAGGGGGCTGCTGTCAGCACGCCAGGTGTCCACGACAGGCTCAGATGAAGTCAGGGGTATGGACTGAGGCATCGATGGTGTCTGCTACAGCTCGTGCCTTGCAGTGCTCAGGCCGTTCATTTGGTGCGTCGCGTCTATTCCGTTACTGAAAGTCCAGGGTAGTTGCTGGTCAGAATCTCCAAAGAAAAGACTCTGAATGGGAGAGTTAGTGGAACAAGCTAGTCTCCCTTGCTACAGCTGGTCCCAGGGCCATCACTGATCCTCAGCATCTCTTTGCTTAGTCCTGCATTCTGTGGTACCCTCAGCCAGTACTTCGTTCCTGAAGGCTCTGAGCAACTGTCTACCTTGGCCTTGTCTGGCTGTGGTGGCTGCAAATGCCCATTCACAGTTATCACCAGGCATGGAAATAACCGAGAGGTTTCCCGAGAATTCCCCAAGGTCCATACATACTCGCCCCTGCTCCCGTTGTGCAGCCCTAGCTCCTCAGCATAATCAGGGTCAGTGACCCTGCCAGCGTCAGCAGTCCCAGGTCATCCTGCCGCAGATGTCGTTTTAAAGGCAGTGGTAGGTGTGCTAGAAGAAGAGGAGAGTACCCCTTCTCCTGCCTTCTTGCCCACAAGCAGCAGGGACAGGCACCTCTAATTCTGCAGAGCCTAAAGTTGTAGGACAGGAAGCAAAAAGTTCCCCAGGTGGGTTGCTGGAGGGGGTCACTCCTACCTCCACTGCTCAGTTCCCAAACTCATGCATTCTAGTTGTTGGGCACCCAGGAACAAGTAACGGCCAGTGGCTGAACATGTATCGTTTCCTGGAAAACAGGGCTCCAACACAGAATGTCCTTCTCAAGCTGGTGCCTTGAGTCTTTAAGAGGACAGTTCAACTCCAGCTTTCGAATAGGAACCAGTGGATCCCACTGTCATGTGTCCTTGGTCAAGTTCCCTTCTCCATGAAATAGGTCCTTTGGTCTGAGATGCTGCAATTCTATGTAGTGAAGCAAGCGTGTGCTGGGTTTTTTGGGGAGTGTCTATTCTCTCTTCTTGAACTGTTGTCGGGTTCCTGTATCACTGTCTTTGTCCTAATGAGCTTGAGGGTTAAGTCTTGATATCTGGTAGAGAAATCTGTTTACTTCTTCATCGGCTATGCTTCCACCATTTGCATTTTTAAATAAATGTAAAATCGTCTTGTCAATTCCATAAAACTATGTTGGGCTTTTGAGTGGGATCGCATCAAATCTACAGTCCATTTTGGAAAAACTGACATCTTTACGACACTGACTCTCCTAATCCACCAACATCATATGTAGCTCCACATTTCTTTGGGTCTTCCTCAACTTCTCCCCACAATGTTTTATATATTTCTGCGTAGAAGTCTTGCCCATCTTATGTGTCATTTATTCCTAGGTATTAGGTATTTTTGATGCCCTTAAACTGGTACCTTTTAAATTCTTAAACTTTGGCTGCATATAGATGTTGACTATATTTTTTTTCAAGTAGACTCTATCTCTACTGTGGGGCTCGAACTCACAGCCCTGAGATCAAGAGTCGCATGCTCTACCGACTGAGCCAGCCAGGCGTCCCTGTTCAGTTGATTTTCATGTACTGATTTTTGTATCCAGCTAATGTATTCGACTCATTATTTCTAATAATGTCTGTGAATTCTTTTGGATTATCTAAGTACATAATGTTATCTGCGAACAAAAAGTGTAATTTTTTTCCCTTTCCAATCCTCTTGCTTCACTCTACCGGTCAGGGTCTCTACTGTGATGTTAAGTGCTGACAGGAATCACCTTTATCTGCCTCCTAATCTAAACAGGAAAACATCTGACCATTTATCATTAAGTATGATGCTTTCTGGAGCACCCGGCTGGCTCAGTGAGTGGAGCGTGCAACTCTTGATCTCGGGCTTGTGAGTTCAAGCCCTACGCTGGGTGTAGAGATTACTTAATAAAATAAATGATGCTTTCTATAGTTCCTACTTCTAGTATTTAAATATTTAAGACCTGCTGATTGCAGCCTTGTGAGAAAGTCCCAGTCAGAAGACCCAGCTAAGCCACATCGACTACTGCTTCACACAGAGAAAAAAATGTTTGTTGTTTTAAGCTGCTAAGTTTTGAGGATCATTTGTTACACAGCAATAGCTAACGGGTGTAGAAGGGATGCATAAGCCTCCCCTCGAAGTCCAACCCAAGGAGACTGTGGCCGAAAGGGCGTGGGTTTTAGAACCGGATATGGAGGTTTTGAAGTCATCCTGCCCTTTACCTGTGCTGATCCTATTTCCTCGAGAACATCAGAACAGACTGTGTAGCTATGGATAGAATATCTGACATGGGAAATCTCAGAAATTCAGGGTATCTAGCTGCCGAACCATTGCTCCAGCTCCCCTTCATTCTTTCTAACCGGCCTTAGAAACTGTTGAGCCTCTGGATTCTGTCTCCTTGGCTGAGCCACGGTGGTGCATGGTAGGAGCTGGGCCTCTCACATCACTGGCAGCCGAGTCCGCAGTGGAGGATCAATTTCACAACGAACCCACAGGCCTCACTTCAAGCCTTTTAAGTTTTTGTTGTTGCTGTTGAAAGTGAAGGCTAAGAGGTGATCTTCTCGCCCACTGTCCATGCCCTGCGATGGCCACCAGCTGCTATGTGGAGCGGGGCCCCTAAGATCAGAGGCAGCCCAGCAAGGCCAGCTTTGGATTTGGAAGCTGGGGCTGGCCCTCCCAGCTACCACCCCTCTTAGCGGACAGGAGCCTCGGGAAGTGGTTTTCTCTGAGCCTGTTTTGTTCACTTGTAAAATAGAAGTCGCAATATTTACCTCCTCAGGGTCCTTTTGCAGATTATACTGGAGCATTTGGGAAAGCAATTTGGCTATTAATAGGTATTTGATACATTAAAAAAAAAACAAAACCTTTGTCCTGTGCCAAGGGGTCGATCGGCAGTCCACCTGGACACCGATAGAGGCTGCTGTTCCCAGCGTGAAGGGCCCAGAGCACCAGCATCGCCTGGGAGGAGGCTAGAAACCAGGAATCTCTGGCCACACCCTGGACCTACCCAGGCAGAATCTGCATGTCCGCAGGATCCCCAAGGATTCATAAAATTTGAGGAGTCCAAAGTTGTGCATTTCCAATAAGCTCCACACAAGTAGCAACATGTTAGAGGAGAAACGGAGAAGGGGAGGATGGACGTCGATGGTCTCGTGACAAAGGTAGGTTTGCTCGGCTTCAGGGCTCTCCCTGTTTGCTCTATCCAAGGAAGAACGGCTTGCTGTTGGCATGAAATTCAACTCCAACAAGGACTTGCTCGAGCACAGAAAAGCCAAACCACTAATCTGAATAAATAAGCATCAATTTTATTGAATCATGAATAATTTAAGACTGGTACAATCATCAGGTTTATTCTCTATGACGTGGGGCATGATCTCCAGTAGATCATTGGCAAATCCAAAAACCTCATGACAAATGAAAATTAAATAGGGAGGGTGGGAGGGAAGGAGGAAGGAAACATACCGTACACAAAATACTCAATTCCTAGTTTTCTCTTTAAAAATGGCTAGAAAAAATTCATCAAAATGCAGCACTTTAATCGATTATTTACAATTTCTATGTTACAATGAAAAAATGTACATCTTATAGGACATATTTCATAAACTGCTCCACTGGAAACAACTAGATTAAAACAGCAAACCTTCCATTTAATATCCACAAAGCTGGATTATTTTTTTTTCCTTTTGAAGTAGATTCGCCACGATCAAATTTGAGTACACAGAATTTCGAAGTTGAAGCATCGACAGTGAAATAAAAAATGTCCCCAAGACACAACAAAGGTCTAGGCAAGTCTCATTCCTTGTCCCACCCCTCCCCCACCCCCAAACTTAAATTAAAAGATATTCCCATCTCATTTATGGCCTGTATAATTCTTGGCAGTTTGGGAAGACTTTTGGCTTCCATTGGTAACTCAACATAAATGTTGCATAGAATTTCATACATTTCAAAATTAGCCTAACTGTAGAAAAAGGCAAAATGGAAGCATTTCGGACAGAGCCCTAAATGAGTACAAAGTCACTTTGTCAAAGGTGAGTGACACTAAAGTAAAATAGGACTGAAATAAGAAATGTGCACATCAGACAACCCTGCTTCCCGAAACTTTAGGAAGGACACGGAGTTGTGAATCACACAAGGGCTACACTACTTGAAATCACTGGTCACTAGTTAGGCAGTACCAGGGACAGAGGTCTTGGTTCTGAGCCTGGACCCAGTGGGAGGGAAGTCTGTAGGAGGGGAGACGACAGAAAAGGTGTCAATTAAAAAAAAAGGGGGGGGTTTCAAACAATATTGGCAGGTGTCTACTCACAAGGTGACTGGGAAAACTGCCCCCAAGGAGAAGTCCATTTTACCTCCTCCCAAATTCACAGTATGAGCGTGTAAGGTCATCGTTGGGAAACAGATTGAGAAGGACCAGTCTTCAGGTTTACCAGAAGGCTCAGGGTGTGGCCCGTGGTCACAGGCTAAATTCATGGTTTAAAATTTTTATGAAAAAACAAAACAGAACAAGACACACTCACACATCCAGATGGCTAACGAAGGCTGCGTGCAAGAGAGTCTGAGTTTATGGAGATGAAAGCAAGGACAGCACAGAGAGCTAGTCCATTCACCAGCTAGTGGGACACATTTCTCCTTTTCCTCTAAGGAGGAAGAAAATGGTGTCATCCAATGTCATGCGAGCAGTTTCAGGTCAAGTTCTTGTGGTAAGTGAATGAAAAAAAAAATGTACAGAGATGGACCTTCAGAAATAGAAATGTGAAAGGTGGAATAAAAACCCTGATTGTTAACAGAGACACCCCCACTGGGGTCCGATGAAGATTCTCTTTATAAAGCAGAAACAAACAACTTAGAGTTTTAGCACTCTCTGTAAAGGAAATACCAGTATGTTGAAGACACATCCTAGCAGGGTATGCATCAGCAATGCCTTGCGGACTTGCAGCAACTTTTGCCTTTTCCTGCATCAGACAGATCACTGTCCAGGCAGAGTGTTAGCTGGAGACTGATAAGAACCTAAAAAAAAAAAAAAAAAAATGCATCTTTTTTTTTTCCTTTTTCCTTTTACCCATGGTCACGCATCCACACAAATGAGTCTTTTGGATGAGAAAAGTCACAGCAACTTGAGTCCTCCTAATGAGTAGATGACTTTTTAGCCCTCTTTGCTCTGATGGGGAAAATAAACAAAAAAACTAATGGACCCCAGGCAGGCACAACACTCGTAAAATGAACATGGTTAGTACAAAACCAGTAAGGCATCGCTTTGGGAAGGTCAGCACCAAAGAGGTCAGGCAAGACTCGTCCGGACGGGGACCCGGGCTTCTGAAAGGGAGCGGATTCCGGCCCCTTGTGGAGTTGTGTCACGTTGGTTCTGAGGAAAGTGCAAGTCTTGTGCGAGGTGACCTCAGCATCCCACCTGAGGTTGGGGCTGGCACGCCTGAGGTGTTGATGTGCGTTCTGAAGCCTCGAGGACGAGAAGGAAAGGCAAGGTCCCCGCTCACCCGCGCGTGGAGGATGGGGTCCTGGTCCACTAGAAAGGACGCGACCCGCCCCGCCCCCCCCCCCCCAGCAGGGCGCGGCGAGGTGTAAAACCGTGAGGATGGACAACTGAACAACCAGAACTCAGCAGGACCAAACCGAAACTCAACTCCTGCAGTTCTTTCTTTCACCAAAGGACTGATTCTGACCAAAGGCGGGGGGGCGGGGGGGAAGAAAAAAATCTCCAAAATCAATGAGTCAGAAAAGGGGGGAAACTCAACCTCATTTGCAAGGGGGTAACCAGTTCTCCAAAACAGACCAATTCTCACTGTCCACAGTGTTTGCAGAAAGAAAAACCTGATTCATTGAGACAGGAGGGGGAAGTAGACACGGGCCGTCTGCATCGTGGCCACATCCGCTCGCGCACGTTCCACTCACGCTCAGGATCGACTGGAGGCTGACGGGTCTGGAAGGTGGGGCTGAACGGGAACAGGCAAAAATACCTCTCGGGGAAGGAGAGCACCATTTAAGAAGCAGAACAAAACAGCGAGCGCGCTTCGCGTTTCCCTGCGGTGTCCCTGCGTCGTAGCTGCGCAGTCAGCCGAGTGGGACCCAGCGGCGCCCGCCCCGTTAGCACCAGCTGTCTGGGCGGCCGGCTGCGGGGGAGGCGCGGGGGCGTGGAGGCAGATGCAGGCTGCTGGCGGCAAGACCCAGGCCCGAGGCTCTATGCCGAGGGGAAGCTGTGTTGCCCGCATTTCCAGCGTGGCTCCAGTCTCTTCCGCTCTGGGTAGCTCGCCGCAGGATGCTGTTTGGTTTCAGAAGCTTCCAAGCGGGTTCTTGGTTTGTTTGTTTTCTTTAGAACCTTTTCATTTCAACGGTGACGATCGTTTCCCGAGAAGTACCTTCAGTGTCTTAGGGAGGTCACGGCAACAAGGCAAACGATAATGAAAATAAACAAGAAGGTAGTGCAGGTCTCCCTGTGGAAGGGAGCGGTGCCAAGGCGGCTGGCCTGGGAGGCCCGCACCCAGGTCGAGGCTGGAGGAGGAGGGGTCTGGGTATCCCTGCAGCTCTCGCGCCGTGGCCGGGGGGCTGGCTCAGGAAGGTGCGGGGCACGCAGGTGGGGCAGGGCAGGGAGGGGGGAGGCGGGCAGGCTCCACGGCTGGCCCCTGTCACAGAGTCGACTCTAGGGACGAGTCCAGGATGTCGTCGTGATGGCTGTTGCTGTTGGAGTCGCTGTCGTAGCTCTGGGGGCTGGAGTAGTTGGCCGCCTCCTGCAGCCTCATCAGCATGTTCATCTGGGGAGAGAGGAAGAGCGTGAGCGGCTTTCAGCCTGGTAGCCGTCCACCTCTGGCCTTTTCCAAGCTTGCGCTACGTCCTCCAGACGCACCCCGGGTTGCAGCCCACAGCAGAGGCCATAGACAAAAAAAAAAAACAAAACAAAAAAACCAACTGTGGACTCCGGGCCAGGCTTCCAGGGTTCCAGTCCTGTCTCTACCACTTACGCGCCGCATAACCTTGGGTAAGTTACTTAACCTTTTTGTGTCTCAGCTTCTTCATCGTCCACTTGAGAACCATCGTACCTGTCCTACGACGTTTGTGGGCATGGATTGAGTGAATATATGCCAAGCACAGAAAAAATAGGAAGTCTTCTAGGAATACAGAATTTATTCTTTATTTGCAAGTGACACAGATTACCCCTTACCCAAGCACAGCCTGCAGACGGCGTAGAGATGCCAGTCAAGCTGGCTCGGCCCCGCTGACATCTGAAGCACACGGCTCCCCCTTCGGGGAGCACCAAACCCGTGGGTATGTCTGACTCTGGCCAGAGGGCAGCCTGGAGCCGGCTGTGCTCCCACTCCTGCCGAGGCCACCATGGGGAGGTAAAGGACAGCAGCAGTTACAAGCAGAGCCATGAAGCACAGAGGGGCCTGAATTCCAAGGCAGGAAACTCTGGGCAAATTACCCACCATACCTGAGCCCCCAGGTCCTCATGTGCAGAGCAGAGAGAGCAAGAGCACCTGTATCTCACAGGGTTGAAGGAGGCAATGAAAGGACAGGATGTGCATTAGACCCTCAGAAGAGGGCTTGGCGTGTAGGAAGTGCTCAATAAATGAGATCTGCTATCATCATCATCATTTGACTTTAAGAGTTTAAAGAGTGTTCTGAGACCTTCCCAGTCTACAGTCTATTGGTTATTTGTCTGCGAGTGAAAGGGAGAACTAGGAACTAATTTTACTTGCAACTTTAAATTGTGTCTTTTATATTTTACATAGCAAGTAAGTTAGAAAGTAGGGTCTCTCTGAGCTAAGGCCAAGACATGATGCAGCTGGGCATGAAATCCAGCTGCTTCCTAGCCAGCTGACCCTCGGGATGCCTTGCGGTCTCCTTGGGTGAGCCAGGGCGCAGAACCACCATCAGCCGTGCCTACTGGTGTAGCCATGACCGGGGAAGAGGTGGAGCTGAAGTACAAGGGGCAATCCTTGGCAGCCGTGATTCTTCACTCATCAAACAGCCCCACTGTATTTACAGTGTGTGTTCTCGAACAAAAATGAGTCAGTCCTCTTCTCCTGGAGGTCTCGGTCTCATGAGGGAGAGAGAGACCAGTTAACAAGAGACCTCGGGCCCTGGGGAGGGAGAAACCCAAGTATCTATTTGATAGTGGGGGTACCTGAGCTGGCACAGCTCACTTCGGGGTACCTGGGGCTGGAGGGAGAGTTTTGTGTAACTATTCCAAGAGCTCCAGGTTTCACCTAAATGCCCTTATGTTTAGTCAGTGACACAAATACTCCCGGGTAAGAGAAGAGGGTCTGGAGATGAGGGAGCCATGCTTTCCTCTAGAGATCTCCTAAATTCTATTTTTATGTAAGGAAAGAGCTCATGAGCTTGCAACCACAGAAACATCTCCACGACTCTGGCTTTAGCCATAATTCATGTTAGACATGGCGTTTTCAAGTCTGGTCCTTTCTTCTGCAGAACCATTGTTGTAAACACTGTACATTAGGTTGTGCATAGTAACATAACAACTCCCATTTAAAATACAGTTCCTATTTATAAGAAAGCTCAACAGGACCCCAGCTCCTTCCTGCCAGTGAGGAGGATGGCAGACAAGCCAAAGCAGCGATGATGATGATGATGATGATGATGATTTTTATCTAGCAAATCAATTAGTCATCAGGGAAAGAACAAGTCAGCTGTCTTTTAATTCTGCTGCATCCCTCATGAATATGTTCTTTCATTAAGTAATGCAAGTCATATTTTCTGCTGTGTTTTTCCTCTTGCCTTAGCTGCCAAGGGAGCTCAAGGGTAAATTGAAGGCATGATAATGGTCACTTAAGTATGGGAGGCTCTGGGGTATGTGCTTCCACTTTCTTTAATAGAGCTTCTGATTTATTAGGTCTAATCTTGCAGTATAACTGTATATGGGTCTTAGGTAGGCAGAGAACACTATAATTATAGTGTTATCGTCCCTGGTCCAGGTTCTTCTCAAAGGGCCTTTATTTGCTTTCGCAATGGTGGGGGTAAATAAGAAGCTCAGGCAGTTACACAGACTTAACTCAGGTCGCTGGCCTTGGGACCCGTATTCAGGCTTCCCTGTCCTCTGAGAGTCCCTCGTGCCCTGAAACCTCTCCCTGCGTGTGCGTCTGATCAGTCAGTTCGGGCTTCTGCTCCTTAGCAATCTCCGCCTTTGCTCTGGCACTAGTGGGAGAGATGAATGGGGCAGGACAGTACGTGATAAAGTTGGTACTCTAATCAGAGGGCAGAGTGGGACGGGGGCATTTAGGTTGGGAAAAATCACATTCGTAACCTTTTATTTTATACCGGAACAAATTTCAGAGGGTTAAAGGCCACAGTGAAAAACTGACCCCATGGGAGATAACGCTGCCAAAGTGCGACTAACCTGGGGGTGGGTCCAGCCTTCCCAAGAGAGACCCTGGCTCAGTCACGTCTCTATTCCCAGAATGCCTTGCGTCATGCCCAATACACAGTAAGTGCTCAGTAAATGCTGAGCTGCTCTGAGAGCGGAGACTTACCAGTGGGTCTCCTTCAGCATCGCTGGGGGGCATCTGCTTGCTCGCAGACCCTTCCCGAGGCATGGAGTAGCCGTCGAAGCCGACATCCTCAGGCCGGAGCTGCAGCAGGGGAGGCCACTCGTGTTGCTGTGGGCTGGCTGCCCAGGGGTAGGTGTCCATCACCCACTTGGCGGGATCCTCCCAGGGGGCCCGCCTTCCATAGAGCTGAAAACAGGCAAAGAAGGAATAGTCTGGGACTGGCCCGAGACCTCCTCTGCAGCCCTGGCTGTGCAGCCTTCGGAAACCTCCTCAAGCCCAGCATCATGCCTTCCCTGATGGAGTAACTGCACTTCCAGAATTCTAAGGAAGGAAGCCACCCGAGGTACCCACAGCTTGATGTGCCAAGACTGAAGGCAACGTGACCTAAGGGTCAAAGGTGCTGGCTTTGGAGTCATCATCTGACCTGGGTCCCCATCTTCGCTCTGCCACTGTCTCACCGAGTCACCCTAAACTCTACGCTTTGCTGATCCAATCTGAAAAGTAGCCGCTTGCGGGGAGGGACCCCAACTGCATGATTTGAAGCATGTGCCAATTTCTGTGGTGTAAATGCTCCTCCCATGGCCGATTTCAAACCACCAATATGGTAGCACTGAACTTGGGAGCTGGAAGGAGGTGCTGACCCTCGGCTCCCATGAGTCGGCTCTAGTATCCCATGGGGTGAACCCCTGAAGATGACCTCCGACACCGATCGTGCGCCGGGCATCAACACCACAGTGGGGGTCACCGACAGCCCTGGTTCAATAAAACCCCATTTCCTGAAGCAGCTCGGACTCTCAGAGCCCCTCACAGCAGCACTGGTCACTTTCAAAACAGCACCCTGTTAACCGAGGTTACACACGGGTATCGGAATTTTAAGTCTTTCAACTATTATCCTTCAAAACTGTCCGGAACAACTGACGGGAAACTATGTTATCACTTAATTTAAGGCCTTTTTTTAAGCCTTCACTATTTAATGATAAGATTATTACAGTGGATTTTACCAGCAATGTCAAGAAATCTATTATCTCTTCCAAGGACAGACACCGGGCCGCTGCCCGTCCCCAGGTGGGGCTCTGCATAGGATACAGTCTTCATCTTCATCATACCGTCTGCATCTTCTCTCTGTTAATGCCACCACGGCTGCCCCATCTTACAGCTGATGGTGGGTCAGCAGCGTTTTACAAATACTGCGCAGAACTGCCATGTGACTCCAAGGGGGAGCAGGACTGCCCGAGTCTCCCAGATGAGGGGGACAGGCCCAGGGAGGAAAGGCAGAAGAACAGGAATCCAAGTCTGTCCGCCTCCACGCACCACTGAGTCTGAGACGTGGCAGGTGTGCTTGCCCAGCACTGGGGAGTACCCCTTCGACAGGGGACCATGGGGTACACGGACCAAAGACTCCTGAACCACCACGTCTGCAGGGCAGCTCCCTCCGCCCTCCCACAACTCCTACAGGAGAGAGGGGAGAGAGGACTTGCTACCAGAACAGAGCTGAGCTCTGACTGACCAGATCACACCTATCCAGGTCCTAGGCTGCCCCAGCTGGAAGGAACTGGAGTCCCCTGGCCTTGTTTACTGGATGGGGTCGTTGGGGTCTAAACAGGAAGGCCAGCCGTGAAAGGTTATGGAGTGGAGCTGGCTTCAAACCCGGGACCTCAGCTTCCTTGTCTGGGCCTTTCTTCCCCTCTCCGCCCCTCCTGACCGAGTCCACCTGGTATCAGCAAGAGACAAGAGCCATGACTCAGCCAAAACCAGAGTAGGGAGAGGCAGACCAGGCTATCCACCAGACAAGGGTGTGTCAGTTGGGTGATTCACGGGGGCCTACGGTACCTCTGACCTTGACGTCTGATGTGTCGGGGAAGCCACCCACCCTGCCCGCATGGCCCAGGGGCTTACCCGTCCCTCCCCATTAGTGACTAGCTCTTCCTGTACTCAAGACACGCACAGCCTCCTGTGACCTCACTGCTTTCTCAGACGCCTGCACCCCTCCCGTCTAGCACCCTGACCGTGTCTGTCGCTAAATCTTCCTTCACCTGGGGCAGCAGTGAGTCTCGGGCCTGAGGATTCAGTCTGGTGTTCTAAAGGCTGTTCCTGGTCCGAGCAAGGAGGGATGACGTGAAGGTGAGGGCATGTGCACGTGTGTGCAAGCCAGGAAGGGAGGGAGCACACAAGCATTTGGGGCATATTCAGAACTGAAGAAGGCTGCTCTCCATCAGAAACATTCCTGCAATTTTAGAAGCTTCTCCCTCCAGAGGGAGGGTTGGGCCACATTTCCCAAGCCAGGCCTCATGCGTGAGGCTGAACCAGGGCCTTACTTCCAGAGCCAGTCTGGAAGAGGAGAGGCTCAGGGCTGCAGAGCAAGAGGCGGGGATGTGGAGCTCATCCAGTCCTTAGACATAATATGGCCCAGAGGTTTTCAAATACTTGCTCTTCCCCTGACCCTACCACTGAGTAGCCTGAGGACCTCTGGGCTCCACAGAAGCCAGCCGGAGAAAATACTCTTCTAGTCTAAGCTGCTCAGATCACAGACAGGGAACCTACAGACAGGAGACTTGCCCAGGGTCTCAGAGCAGGTTGGGTCATCCGATAAATGGCCCAACGCTCTTCTCCGCCCACCAGGAGAACACAGGTCCTTTGAGTTGCTCTACAGACTTCAGACACTTTGGCAAATGTTTACAATGATGGCTCCAAAGGGGAGCAGGACTGGGAACTGAGTCATAAGATAAATGTACATTGGGCGCATGTGAATGTCATCTGCAAGAACAGGAAATATTTTTACAAGCTTCCACGCTTGCCACTAGACATGTTCAAGACCAGGTGATGAATGGTTGGGTCAGGACTATGGCAGGCAAAGGAATTACCATAAAAGCTCCTCGGCCCCACTGCAGCAGAGCCCTGAGGCAGCTCTGGGAAGCAGCAGAGACAGCTGGACAGAGAGACAGGCAGATGGGACATTCACCTACCCCTATGGCTCAGGAGCTGTGGGCTGAGACAACGGGAACGAATACCGGGGCCTCTGTGAGCCTCCTGACTCCACAGAATGTGCGGAGCCGCCGGGAGGCCATGCTTGCCTGCTCTGAACCACAGTTCCCTCACGGCCACTCGCTCCCCTCACAGGGTCCCGTGAGGAGTGGCCTCGCACAGCATCTAGCACACAGTTAGCAGGAACTCAGGGTAACACAGGGGGAGTGGGGAATCGAACTTTTTTTTTTTTTTAAACAGAGGAATCCTTTTGTTAAATGAAATCTTCTGTAGAAAACCACCCTATGAAACACAATACTTTGTTCCCTGAACCACCTGAGGCTTCTGGAAGTTAGGGGGTCCTCAGGACAGCTTGAAAATCCCAGAAGTAACGGAGGAGTCAGCCAGACCTGGCCCCAATGCTGGCTCATCACACCCCAGTGAGTGACCTTGGGTAACAGTAAAAACTCTTGTGAGCCTGGTTTCCTCGTTTATGAGGTACTCTTTGAGCTGTTAGAACTAAAAGAGATCGTGCACATCAGGCCCCTCGCAGGGCCCAGCAAGTAGCAGACCCTCAATCAACGTCAGCAGACTTTCCTTCAAAACCAGAGGCCTGAAGAATACACACCAGGTTTCCTCATAAATCAGTAGATTCTGGGGGTTTTCCTGGGCTCCTCAGGATGATGAGGTCACAGGTTTGGGGCAAGGTGGCTCACTTTTGAGCAACTTGGTAAAATGCTAATTCTGCTGCCTCCCCACCCCCACTTGCTCCCACACTCTTGAAGGATGGTCTTTCAAATGACCTCACAGCGCAGGCAAGCAATGACTTATTTTTACTTCACGCTGAACTGGTAAGTCCCATGAGATGGTGGTATGTCTCTGTTCCCTGCCCCAGACGGAACGTTCTATAGCCATCCCCAAATCCTTTCAACCCGTGGCCTCCGTGCTCTTGGTGGGAAAGAGCCCCAGGAAGGGCATTTGGACTCCACCTTTATGGCCGTGCCCAGAAGGCTTTCTTTGAAATTCAAGTCGAAAGGAGCAGGGTCCTGGCATGTCCATCCTGGGTGAGGACTGACAGGGGGCCAGCTGATGTGTAGTTCAAGGTTGGAGAACTCCTTGTGTCTCCCCACTCATGGTTTGTGCTTCACTGCGCAAGGGAGGCCAGCCCTTAACCAACAGAGCCCATGGGTTCTTCCAAGCACGCCCTGAGGTCACTGCCTATCCCTCATCACAAAATACATTTGGAGCAAAGAAGCAGCAGATGAACAAGTGAGAGGCGAGGCAGAAATAAGAGGAAATGGCGCACTTCCTCTAATTCCCTTATTTCTTTTGAGCAGCATGGGGGTCCCCCAGAGGTGCTGGGCAGAGCACAGCCCCAGGAAAGCCACTGAAGGAGAATGGAGGAGGGGGCTTCTGAAATGAAACCGACTTCAAGAATCCAGCATGTGGGAGAAGCCTCCACTGGCCCAAGAAAACAGGAATGACTGCACAGCTCCTTGGGTTTGCGGCACGGACAGATCATCTGATTAAAGACTAAACTAGGGTCCGCTGACCCAGGTCAGTGAATTTATCTACCTAGGGAGATTCTACTGCAAAGATCTGAAATCCCTCACACCTTGCTTTATGAAAGCCACGTGACACAGGAGAAAGGCTGCCGTCAGTGAACGGTCTTTGCGTGTGACTAACCAATGATTTGGGGCTGACCAAGGGACTGCCTATCTGCTTGCTAGTCTGCCTTCAGGTGCACCTCGATTGCCCCAAGGCGGCCTGCGTTTGTGGGACAGCCGTGCTCCAGCTCGGTGAGGCAGGAGCTGCAAGAGGCACAGTACGTTCCTTTCCCAGTTCTTGCCGTCCCGGCAGCCTCTGAAACCACAGGCTGCTGCACAGCACAAAGCGGCAACACATCCGCCAGGGGCAGTGACATACACACTGCGGCCCCGAACGGGCTGTACCCCATACACGCACGTGGGTGTGCCCCCTCCCGTGCCCTCCACCGGCCCACAGCAGCCTCCTGGGTCTCCAGCTGCCCAGCGTGGAGGAAGCCAAGGAGCCCTTGGGAAGCCGGCTGGTTCCTGGACTCTTCAGCTGTGCCTGATGCCTGCTCATTACTCAGTGTGCGTGCTGCAAGCCTAGAAACTTCTACAGCTGCCTCCAGACTCAACCGTGTCACTGGTGCAAGCTCCAATTTAATGCTAAGCCCGCCCTAGCACTCAAGGCTGAGCTGAATGAGAAGTGAAGGATGCTGCCTTCCAGCCCCTGCAGTGTAGGGGCTTGCAGCCCCAGGGGCCCCAGGGTCGTGGCGGGAGGCAGAGTGGGCGGGTGAGGGTATCTGGGTGGCAGGTAGTGAGTGCTATGGGGCCGAGGCCTCAGAACCTGGAATTCGAGTTAGGGGACTGGACTCCAATCTCAGCTTCTTCAAGTGTCCTTTTTATGACCTTGGGCAACCCACTTACTCTCTCTGAGCCTTAATTTTCCTCTCCTGAAAAATGGAGACCAAAAAAAAAAAAAAAACCACCTCTGCTCAAGTCCCAGGACTAAAGCAGGCTTGAGTCAAATAGCAGAGAGGAGACTACTTCGCAAACTGCACACTTCCATTTCTTGTGTGCTCACTGTGCTGGGCGCTTTATGGTCATGACTGCATTTAACCCTCGCAGTAACTGCTTGTGGTAGAGGATGGTCATTCTCCTCTTCTATCAGTCAGGGCACTAGGGCACAGAGAGGCTGAACAACTTGCCTGGGGTCACACATGAACAGTGGCGGAGCCAAGATATGCAGCTAAGTCGTCCTACTCTGTGCCAGACTGATGGCCTCCCCCGTGAGGGGCTGTCCCCCATGTCAGTCAGACGTCTAAAGGAGGAGATACAGACAACTCATCGGGTCACCAGAACAGTTCCCCCGTCCCGCCCCCAATTCTGAGGAGGCCTGTGGCAAGCACGCTCCTCACCTGGAGTCCTTCTCTGACGGCTTCCAGGAGATAGGGGATAATCGAGTAGTTCCACAAGTCGGTGAACCACACCCTGGAGCCATCCACATCGATGGGGCATGACAGGAAGAGCCGGGGGCCTGGGGACCACAGGGAAAGTCCATCAGAGCTGAAACTGGGGGGTTAAGAGAAGCCACGGTCTGAACAAACCCCACAGGAGGGACCCTGTGATTTTCTGAATGACAGCAGAAGTACCGCTTCCCTGGGATCTCTCTCCCCTCCCAGGAAATCACCCAAAAGAGAGGAGAGGCTTTATGGAGAGAGATGTTCACTGCAGTAGGATGAACCCTGACCGCTGGAAACAGAAGTGCACTCAGTGTCCGAGAAGAGAAATGGTTACGCAAACGAAGGTAGAGCCACTTTGATTACTCTGCAGCCTTTGGGAAGGACTGTGAAAATGGAGCAGCAACACAGATGCTCAGGGGACAATGTGAAATAAAAAAAATGAGCATCCTGTGTGCACGCTATATTTGCGACTACACAAACCTACATGTCTGGACAAGGACAGAAAACAGAAGTTCAAATTAACATTCTGTTAAGATGGTGGGATGATCAGCGGTCTTTTTTTCTCTGAACCCTAAGCTTTGGGAATGTTGATAGCATTTTATTTTTAAAGCGGAGCCAATGTGGCCGGATGGCTTGTGCTTAGGGGAGCCCTGCGCTGGGGGCTCTTCACAGAGCCGGCAGTTTTTGCATCAGCCTGGGCTGGATGCCTCGCTCTGCAGCTAATCAGCCCTGGTCCGCTGTGCAAAGATGAGGACAGGGACACAGCACCGGATGCAGATGACTGGCAGTCCGGGGGTCTGCCCTGGGCTGTGATGGTCCCTCTGTCCCCTTCTCACCCGTGTGGACAGTGCAGCATCCAGCTGACTTGTGCCTGCCAGGTGCTGTCCTGGCCAGGGCCCCGAGGACATGCGTCTGAGGCGGCCAGAACTCCAGGAGCAGTGCCTGTCCCCTGCCTGGCCTCCCACCTACCTATGGTGACGTCTGAGGAGCTGTGAGCCTCCAGGAAGCGGTTGAGGTGATGCCAGACCTTGGGAATCCAGTCGATGATTTTTACCAGCTCCACATTCCGCACTCGCCCACTGATCTCTGTTTCCATGAGCTTCCGCCTCAGGAACCGGCCGAGAAAGCCCTTCACGGGCTCCGTGTGGTTGGCACAAAGCACCCACCTGGAGGAGAGTCAGCAATACTTTTCAGTGATGACGACTGATGAAAACGATGCCAGCCTCCCCAGTCAAAGCTCATTAGACCTGGAGTTACTAGGACAGGCCCTGTGGTGCACCCAATTCGTCGTGGCGGCCCTGTGACAGAGCTACGACAGCCATCCCCATTTCACAGATGGGAATGCTGAGGCACAGACAGGTTGTACAACTTATCCAAGACCAAACAGCTCTTTAATATAGAAGGGCTAAGATCAGGACGAGGATGGTCCAGCTCCAGAGTCTGAGCTCTAACCACTGGGCCTGCTGCCTCTTGTGCTGGAAGTCAGGCTGTGGCTGGCCTCTGGAGCTGTAACGAAGACTAAGACGCAGGCCCCGTTCCCCAGAAGCACACGGTCTAGTGGAGGAAGTAGATAAGCAAACAGAGGAATGAGATGTGACAAACCCCAGGGAATCAGAGAAGCCTCCCAGAGGACGGGATGTCTGAGACCAGGAGGGGGCTGGGGTCAGGGTGGAGACCAGGCTGCCCCATCTGCAAAGGCGCATGCGGTGGTCGGGGAACCTGCCAGAGATTCAGTGTGACCAGTGTAATTCAGTGTTCGGACCTGCCAACCTACAGAGTCTGATTCCATTTTGGAGGCCATGGGGAGGCCCTGAAGGAGTTTAAGCATGAGGGTTTTCTGGTCAGATCTGAATTCTAGAACGCTCACTCAGCTGCCACTGGCACAGCAGACGGCCTTCAGGGAGCCGAGCTGCGGGCAGGCGCCGTGGTTGCAGTGACGGTGTGCTGGGAGCCATGGGGGGGTGGGGGGCAGGAGGAGAAAGCACGGACGAGACAGGACAGCCCGGATGCAGAGGCGGCCATGATCTCGGGCCTGGGGGAGTCGCCATTTCTGATGATCACAGTTCGGGTCTGCTCTCAATAGATTTCCCTCAGAGATGTCTGCAGATGGCCAGTGGAAGAGCACCAGGGACCTACCCCAGAGTGGCTTCTCAGCCGCATCCCAGGGCCTGGGGGGCGGTGGGGGGGGGTTGCAGTCACCTGGGAGGTGGCGCAGGGCAGAGGGCATCCAGCCATGGCAAGGCCAGCAGCAACGGGACCTTGCACGACTGAGCTGGACAGTCCCTCCCACATCCCAGCAGTGACCGCACCCCAGTGCAGGGCCAGGGCAGAGGGACTCCCAGCAGCTGGAGCGCAAAGGCCCACAGCTCTGAGGGGACACTCATAAGCAAGAGCTTGCACTGCTCATGATCATCACTTGGGGCGGAGAGATGCATCACCGGGGACGTGAGGGGGGTGGGCAAGCCCAGAGCCGCAGCCTTGACACGGCTACCCCCGGGCGGAGACTCAGGGAGACCTGGGCTTCTGTCTCAGCTCTGCCACCGACCGGCCAGGTGACCCCGCGTGAATCAATTCTCTCAGCCTCCCCGTCCCCAGTTGCAAGATAAAGCTAGCTAACTCCTTGAGGCTGTCGTGGGAGTGAAATGAGTTACGCCGGGGCAAACGCTCAGCACGACGGCCAACATGGGCGCCCGAACAGCCGTGCCTTACCTGAAGTTGTGATGAAGCTGCAGATTGGGAGTAGATGAGGTAGCCTGGTTCATTGTGCCGATTATGTAAGGGCTGTGGGGACAGGAAGGAAAAGAAGGCCCTGTGAGTCAAAGGCAAGCCAGGGAAGGTGCTCACGGAAGCCCGTGGCACCGGCAGGTGCAGGCAGATGGCTGCTTGCCTCCCCCGCCCCCCACGCGGAGCCCGGGCTGTGTGGGCACCGTGCCCGTGCAGCACACATCCCGTGGCCACCGTCCTCTGGGGGCCACGGGGTCGGGAGCTGCCCTTTACCATTTATGGTCCTTGCAGTTGAGCAGCCCATTGAAGATCTCGCCCAGGGAGCTGACGTGATGCAGGTTGTCGAGGATGATGACGAGGGGCATGTCCACAGCGTTGTTCTCGCTGGTGCACTGGTCAGCAAGGTTGGACAGGTACTGGCGCAATTCCTGGCGAGGCCGGGGGAAGAATAAGTGGGTGAATGCACCCCAATAAAGATGCACATGCTCAGAGCCTTCACTTTGCCCAGGTCAACAGAGGCGGAAAGGTCTTTCAGTAGGCCATGTGGTGAACCTGTATTGAGTGCCCATCTGCTACACAACATCATCCGGGGGGGGGTCAGGAGATGTGGGGTGGGCAGGGGGTGAGGAAGGCCTGGGTCCTGCTTCTTGGAAGGCACTAGGTAATAGAAAACCTGCCTGGGGCAGGAGCACGGCACTGTGGGGTGCTGAGGCATCGTTCTGCATCCCTGTTCTAATCACTTGTCTACAAGTGCTGTCATTTTTCTTGATATTGCTTATTATGCCCACCTTGCAGTAAGCTCCCAAGGGCGGGTGCCTTATACACCTCTGTACTTCCGCAGCACCTGCATGAGAGCCACTTACACAGAAGCCCTCGATGGATCGACACAGCAAAGGACCGCCCCCCGCCCCCCACCCCTGCACAGGCTCGCACCGCTCATCAGTGCCATCACAACCAGCCAACGGTGCAGGGCAGAGGGGTCAACATGCAGAGGGGGCCCTGGAAGGTCTGGACTGAACTGTGGAGAAGAGGTCGGGGATTGGCTTGTGTTGGAACTAGGATGCAGCCCAGCCCCGCTGGGGTGAGGGATGTGTGTCAGAAGACGAGGGATAATGGTGCCAAAGAGGAAAGGCCGAAACGGTGAGCGGAGGACCGGCCAGGGACCACAATGCCTGCCTGCTGGTGTTACCATCATAGCAACAGTGGTCAGGGACTTAGAGCCTCACACACACAATCTCTGTAGCCCTATGGGAACCTTCTTGGGTGGGCACTGGGATTATCTCCGTTTTACCAATGAGGAGGCTAGGGCACATCAAAATCAGGTGCCTGGCTCCAGACTCGGGGCCTGCCGCAGTGCGGGCTCTTTATCACATCAGACGGTCCTACGCGCTAGCCTGAGAGCTCACAGGGTGATGCTCCCTCCACCTCCTACAAAGGGCCTCCCTTTTGAGTCAAAGTGTGGCTTGCTAACATCAGAAAAAGCCCCATTTTTAAGTTACTAGTAATTTCTTTTTCCTTTAGCCCCTTTCCACCAGGGGTTCGTGGTCTCAGGCACCTGAGAAGGACAGAGTTTCCAGAGCCTTCCTTCCCCTGCTGAGGCTCGTGGGGTATGGTTGGTGAGCTATACACTGCAGAGGGTGCTGGTCAAGGGGAACGTGAGAGGGGGATGAAATCTAGCCTGGGCTCGATCCCCAGCCACATGCCTAGGGTCCTTCTCTCACTGGTCCTGGAAGAGGGTGCCTTCCCTTAGTAGGCTCACACACAGAGACTCTGGGTACCAGCACCCTGACAACTTCTCTCTAGTTCTAGCCCAACATCAAAATCACCCAGCTAACTGAATGGCGCAGATTCTGGCCTGCCAAACTTACTGAAAGCCGTCATCTGGGAATGAGATCCAGGAATCTCTATCTTTGAGCATGCCAGGTGATTCATAAGGCAGAAGAGTCATTTCCCAATCGCTTCTGACTCACCAGTCCCCTTGCTCAGGGCCAGCCCGAGCGAATCACCCATCACCTCCCACTGCGTGAACAGTGAACAGGTCTGAGAAACCACTTCACGATCTTCGCCCGGGACCAGGTCCAGACGTCTCCATCAGTCCCCATGAAGCAGGACTGAGCCTGTTTGCTGGCTCTGGAGTCCAAGACGCTGACTTAAGCCCTAGTCCACTGCTCTGTGCCATCTAAGGGCTCCTAGGCACATGGCCACCTGCCTCGAGCCTCAGGTCCCTTCTCTGTGACAGGAGAGTAGCCACGACCTCTCTCTTGAGGGTACTATCGTGAGGTGGCCAGTTTGCTGGTCATGGGCAAGCAGTCTGTGATGTGAGCTGATATTATGAGTGTCAGCACTGTTCCTCAAGAGGACGTTTGATTTGGGAGAAAAAGAGCAGCAAGTAGGCACACGACAAATTCTTGGTAAACTAAAATGGATGCTTCTGGGGTGATCCTAAAGGACTCCTAGCACTGAGCTTCACAGCCAGCTCAGAGCGGGCAAGTGAGAAATGAACCAGCTCGCCTAACAGATGGCACTCCTCACTGGAAGTTTTGGGTTCAAGCCTTCCCTTCTGCTACCCCATCCTGACTTCCGCCACCAGGCTTTCACAAGCCCAAGGGAGAACACCCGGGCGACACTGCTTTCCCATTAGGGCGGTGGTGGCCTCAACAGTTCTGAAAGGGCCACATAGCACCCCTGGCTGGGTGGCAGCCTCCAAATGACCTCCTCACCTTGCTGGACTTGTGGTCCACGTTGAAGGTGGCGATGACACCATCCGTCAGCTCCCGTCCCTCCCGCAGCACCAAGTACTCGGACAGCCGGTTGGCCAAGTAGGTTTTCCCCGTGCCACTGGGGCCGGAGAGGATGATCCGCCGGTGCTCCACCAGCAGGGAAACGTAGCGCTGCAGGATGGGCTTGGGGATCAGGGACTCGAACACCAGGGAGTCCAGGCTGTTCTCCGCGAGCCCTGTGTTGGAGAGGGACAGGAAGGGTCTGAAGCCCTGTGGAATGGGTAGCTCTGCGCTGCCACCTGGGTCTGCCTGGCTCTTTCCACAGCGGCCACTCATCTGAGACGGCTGCCCACCCGGGTACATGGGAGGCTGAGCGCAGGCAGCTACTGCAGCCTGCTCACGAGCACGGTGTGGTCTAGCATCTGGCTCAGCCGGCTCGCCCAGACTCAGACTCCACTCTAACACCCGGGCCCGAGGGCCCTGTCTGTCCTCTGCAGAGTTCTTAAGACTCTGGGCTCTGCTTGTCTGTCTGGATTTGCCGTGCTGCTGGTGTCTGCCCAGCCCAAACCTGAGTCTCCCGTGTCTGCCAAGACCCTGGGGTTGCCTGTCACCCTGTTGTCTCTTGTGCCCTGTGCCACCGCTGCCCACACTCAGATATGCCACAGAGGTGGCCACGCTTTCATCCTGAAAGCAAAGAAATGCCATTTGATTCAGGTATGTGATGACTGGTAGGCGAAAGCTGAGATGCTACCCACCCAGACCTCTGAGCCTCAACAATGTCAAGAGGAAACGTATCTTTCCTCTTTCCTACGTGGGACAGCTCCACCCATCAGGGCTGTTGGTTTTTTTTTTTTTTTTTTAAGATTTTATTTATTTATTTGAGAGCGCGAGAGCAAGAGAGAAAGCATGAGCAGAGGGGAGGAGCAGAGAGAGAAGCAAACTCCCCGCTGAGCAGGGAGCAAGACACAGGGCTTGATCCCAGGATCCCAAGATCATGATCTGAGCTCAAGGCAGCCACTTAACTGACTGAGCCACCCAGGCGCCCCAGGGCCGTTGGCTATCTACTTTTATTTTATTTTTAAAGATTTATTTATTCATTTGTAGTGAGAGAGAGAAAGAGAGCGTGTGCAGGAGCAGGGGAAAGGCAGAGGGAGAGAAGCAGACTCCCCACTGAGGGTGGAGCCTGACGTGAGGCTCAACCCCGAAACCCTGAGATCATGCTGAGTCAAAATCAAGACTCAGATGCTTAACCTACTGAGCCACCCAGGGTCGCTGGCTTTTTAAAAACTATTTTCTTGTGGGCGCCCGGGTGGCTCAGATGGTTAAGCATCTGCCTTCGGCTCAGGTCATGATCCCGGGGTCCTGGGATCGAGTCCCACGTTGGGCTCCCTGCTGAGCGGGGAGCCTGCTTCTCCCTCTGCCTTTCTCTCTCTCTCTCTCTCTCTGTCTCTCATGAATAAATGAATAAATAAATCTTTAAAAAAAAAAAAAACTATTTTCTTGATATCATTCTCAAGAGAAGATCCACCCAAGGTTACTTGTCTAAAACCTAAAGTAACTCTGTTAAAACTCACCTTAAGAAAACTAGTGTATGTAGGTAAAAAATATATTGAAGAGCATTTAGTCTCCTTTTTTTTAAGATTTCATTTTTAAGTAATCTCTACCCTCAATGTGGGGCTCGAACTTACAAGCGAGAGATCAAAGTCACATGCTCTACTGAGCCAGCCAGGCACCCCCATTTATTCTATTTTATAACAGTATCTTCCTTTTACATAATTATTCACTGCAAACAGACCCGACAAATGCATTTATATGCTTGTTTCTAATCCCCCCCCAACCGAGAATGGCCCCTACATGCAGGAGACTATTCCAGAATGACCATGATGAAGGTTTCTAAAGGACTTATCTTTCGGGTACAGGCCTAAGACTCTCCTGGTACTGAGCTCAGTGTAGCCTACACTGGTTGAAACTCGATGCGAAGTGCGGAATGCAGGGTCTCTCGTCTAAACTTAATAATGAGGAAAAACCCCACAAAAACATCTTTTTCTACATATACGCTGCTCTTTTGGTCTTTTGCCCTAAAACCCCCTGGGAATGACTGTTCTGCAGATGAACGCACTGCAGGACACGCGTTTAGCATTCCCGCTAAAGCTAGTTTGGGGTAGGTTCCCGTCACTTGCACCCGAGGCCACGTGTGTGCAATAGCGCTTGCTGGTAAGATAGGCTGTGTGTGAGGCTCGAGCGGTAATGTTAGGCCCGTCAGTGGAAGAGCAAGGTGTGGATTCCTGCTCCTAAGGAATGGTGGGGTGCTTCTGGAAAACCTCCCAACCAGGAAACAAAGCTTGCATCAAACAACCCCAAAAGCGCCCTGTTAAAACTACAGTCAAAAGCTGTGAGTTACAGGGAAGTAAGATGGGACAACCTGAAGGGTGAGCTTCGCACAGTGTTTATTAATCTATTCTTTGGCGGCGGGAGGTTCATAAAATAGAGGGAAAAAAGGGCTTTTGCAGTCAAATACATTTGTGTCAGACTGGATTCAATAGCCTTCTTACTGACCGGAGTCAGCGTATCCGAGGCTGGAGTTAGTGCACCCAGCACCCATACACTCCTGTCTTCCTGTCCCCTGAACACAAATGGGTCTAATGAGGCAGTTTTCTAGACTTATTTGGCCAGGATTCTCCCCCCACAAGAATACTTTGTGGGCCTAGTGTTCCTTGGAACACACTTCGGCCTGGGGCCTAGCATCCCTAGGGGATGAGGCACCTGGAAGGGCCAGCAGCGCCGTGCGTGGGCACGCGTGGCCCTCGAGCACATCGCAGCTCCCACCTGTAGAACGGGACCACGTCCAAGGCCGGCTGGCAAGAGTAACCCGTGGGTATCGGCGGAGCCCCGTTTCAGCAGGGCTATTAAGATTCCAACACCTCAGAGTCATAAGGCTTAATGGGACCTTTTGTTATAGAACTTCAGCAATAAACTAAAATTGTTTGCTTCCGGTGGTGTGGAAAAAGCTAAAGGCCATTGAACTTGCTTAGGTAAGAAGGACTGTGGTTGCAGAGGTAGAGAAACCTACCCACACACACGTGCAAACAAAACTGTGGCCATGGTTTCTGACGCCAAGTCACAAAACAAAAACTGCAAGTCCTGAAAACTCCGACCTCCGCCGTCGGCCAAATTACCTTTGACGGTCACAGAGATGGTCGTGTTCTCGCCGACCAGATAGCCACAGGGAAGAAGCTCGGGGGTCTCAGAGGTGTTGCTGCGCTTGATTTCCCCAATGCTGTAGCCCAGAACACTATCTGAATTCAGCCCCAGCTGACTCACGGGGTCGACGTGGATGATGTATTCCTGGGAAGAATAAAATCAAGACCCCGTCAAAGATGTGGCTAGAAATCTGCCCATGACTCATGTTTTCCTTGGGTGATTTATGATCATCTTCTCTCTCAGTTGATGCCTGGGTTGAAACCAAGCTGTGGAACAAGGAGGGGGAAGAGCTTTCTATGGGGATGATGACCAAGTATCACAGGCCTCTTCAAGTACAGATTTATTTGGTTAGTGATGTGGAGGGAGCCCTAACACAATCGTGAACGTTTAGTCTGGATGAACCAGGCAAGGAAAAGTTAGACTGCTTTTCTTAAATTCAGCTGAAGTCCTGAAGACACCAGGGCCTGTGACTAGTGCTGGAAAATTCATGAGAAAGTAATTCAGACAAGAAATCTCCCCACCAGCCCCTTCTCTTGGCTCACAGCAAACTCCACACTTACGATAAAAGGAGCAAATCCCAGGGCTGCAAGAAAAAAGCAGCTTTTGGTCTTTAAACAGGAAAAACTGTGTTTAATTTGGAAAGTATGCCTTCTGAGGTGAGTGACCAAAAGGTTTTAGGTCAGTGAACCTGCACCGAAGGTCTGTGGACGAGGAGGTAGCTGGACGATGACTGACGTGGAATATCGAGAACAGGCCTCTCTACCTTTAATAGTCTCACTTCCTCACACGTGACGCCCCACAGGCTCTTTTCAGCCCAAACTGTTGTCTTTTTAATCTAAGATTAAACTGCCCATCAGCAGAGTTCAGGTTTTGGCTCTAGGAAGCAGGATTTGTCTGCCCTCAGCCATTCACATCCCTTGGCCAGTTACATTTCCACAGCCTGCCAAGATGGGGAAGATCTTTGGCCAGAGAACAGAACACAGGGCTTCCTGTGGGTGAAGCCACCTGAATCTAGATGCTAGAAAGAGACTAGAGTGGACTGGGTAAGTCAGGTTTTAAAGTCAGACCAACTCAACTAGACCAACGTGGTTGTGTTCTAGCTCCATGATCTTGGGCAAGTGAGCTGACCCTTGCTTTCCTCCTCTTTAAGTGGGAAAATAATAGGACCTTCCTCACAGGCCTGGAAATAAATTGGGGTAATGTTAGCATGGTCTCTGGCACCAAAAATGCAGGCTACCAATAATGCTTAGGGGATATGATTAATGAACGCTTATGATTGCTGATTCCCTTCAGGACAGTAGGGAAAAAAAGGTACAAAAAGCTTCTTCCAAACCACCTTGTGCTTGCAGGTTCTCCTCAGTACTCATGAGTTATTTCTCCCGTGACAAACATCCACACTCACTCCAGTGATGTGACTAGAACAAATACGAAAGTAACTATGCCAACATCTTTGACTCTGGACATTGATCAGATGTTAATGTCACGTGAAGCACAAATCATAGACTCTGAAGTGTTGGCCAGGATGCTGGGCAAGTCAGATCAAATCCCCCAGAAATGAAGAATGGAAATTTGAGGTCTTAGCCCTGGCCACAGGGCACTCATTCAAAGTATATTCAATAGGACACAATTCTAAGGTGAAGAGAGAATTTGGATATTAGCAGTTCACCATGCGAGGCTCAAATAACTGCTTGAGGCCAGGGAAATGACTCTCACTGGCTGGCCAACCACTGCCAAGGGTAGCCAGGAACAGGCTGGCCAATCACCAGTCTGTTCTCACCATCCCCCTGTTACCGGAGTGCCCAGAGACAAGTACCAGCAACACAAAGGTGGGGGCAGACCCAAGCAATGGCCACGTTCAGGACACAAACCGCCCCTTCCCTCCCAGAGCCCAGGCCCCCACTTCAGGCAGACTACCGTAGCCGTCCTCTTAAGACACTTACTTTGAACAGTCTTCTAACCACCCCATCGAGCACATCCCACTTCGTCTTGCCACTAACTCCAATGCAGCCAATAAGAAAGAGGTGTGGTCTGGAATCCTAAGGGTAAGGAAATGTACACAGGTGAAAAACAGGCGGATCTTTTCCGACACAGTTTAGCAAGGACTCAGATTGCCTTAGGACTCCACCAATGGTTTGAGAGGGGGAATAAAAGTCCTATTTGTTATTAACACCAAATACAACGTAGATGGAATACAATAGTCTTAAAAACTTTCCCTGCTCTCTTGCAAAAACAGTAGTCCATGGGTCAGGAAGAGAGGATCTCCTCTCTGGAATCTAGAACCTTCTACTACAGGTGTGCCTTGTACAGTGCAGAGATCACATCCCTTGCCTGGAATGCTCTCCCCTCTCCTGTCTGCCATCTCTCCCTTTCCAAACCTTGCTTGCAAACTCACCTCTTCCAGGAAGCCTTCAATGATTAACCCACCAGGCGCAGAGCTCACATTGCTTCACCGGTTCTGTACATAACTGATATATTATCATATTCTGTACTTGTTTATTTTTAGGTATTTATGTCTTATTTGTATATCAAGTTTATCTCCTTGCTAGATCTTAAACTCCTTCAGAATAGAATATGCTCAATTATTTTCTTTTTTAAATAATGTTTATTGCTTTTCTGCTAATTAAAAGTTAAAACATACTCAAATCAGAAAACAAGTAAAACTCTGCGAAGTTCACAAAAAAATACTTTTTCTACTGCTTTTGAATTTCACCCACAGGGCTCTCTGCACAGGGGGGGTTAACTAATCACAATGATTAAAGAAAAATTAATAGAATATTCCATTTGGTCGCATTTTAAAATCTTAGCTCTGACATGCTCAGAAGAATACAGAATTAGGAGAGTGGCAGCAGGCAGTGGGGGTGTATGTGGCAGTTAAGCAAAATCAGCAGAGAAAAGAGCACCAGTTTTATGGTGAGAAGATCTGGCCTCACCAGTTGCCTTATAACCTCAAGTAAATGATGCTTGGCGCTAGGTTTCAGTTGTAAAATGGAGGTAACAACGTCTGGTTGACCAGCTTCATCTGGATGCCATAGTGATCCAGAACAACAGAGTTTTTAAAAGGGACTCAAACTTCTGTAAAATGTAGAATCTACCTGCTCCTGTTGAGGATCATTGGGTTAATGCACATCCCCAGATATCACCTGAATTTTCTGTAAGAATGTTCTAAGAATGAATTTTCCCTGATAGTCCTATCATGCCACTACTTAAGCTCTGAAGATAGACTTCTTTATATTTCTTTTTATATGTAAAAGACACATATTTTTAGGTTAGATGAGGAGATAATCACTGGCAGCTCCAAAATCTGGGCCTCCCCACCTTCAACAAGACTAGAGAGCCAGCCACACAGTGGAATCCTCTGGCAAAGAGAGTCTGGCTGCAGACAGCTCTGCTGTGGTGGGCACTGCAGGGTTCCCTGGCACTCCTAGGCGACAAACAGCATGTCGGCAAGGATGCTGAGAAACAACAAACAAAGAGCTGAAGAAGGACTTGAAATAACCCCTCGTGAAATCTTCCTCTGCTTATTTGAGAGATGGTCGTTAGAGCATCATGTGGATTCAATCAACGGCTAAAAATCAACTCTGTCAACCCCCATCCCCTACCCCCAAAATAGTCCCTAGTGTGGGTGTGGCCTCCTCAGGCTCTGGAAGAGAACAGGAACCACTCAGAAAACTCAAGATTCCTCAGTCTTGGGGAGTCGGGACGCCCACCAGCTTCACGTCAGCCACCTGTGTGGCTCGGCCCCGTCGGTGTCCCACCTTGTCCGCGGTCTCTGAACACTGGACAAGACTGGTGCTCTTGGTCAGCTGCATTTGGTCAGCTTGCTTCTGTGCCTTCTGCGCTAACTGTGCTTAGCTGCCCCTGAAGGGCTTTCGGAACACATCAAATTCAGAAAAGCCGTTTCTGACCGATGTTAGTGTTTAGTTAGGTCTGTGCAAGGGCGACACGGGAGTATCTTTTATCTTTCCAAACGCGAGAGGGAGGAGGGAAGGGCCGTTTGCTTACTTTAATCGTGTCAAAATGCTGCTGGGGATCGTGGTTAGTTAAGGAAAGTGTTAGTACCTCCGAATCACCTTTGGTGCTGAGGTGATACGCTCTGACGATGCCATCTCTACACTAGGTAGGGACAAGCAGAGCAGGGAAAGGGATCCGACTAACCTCCTTCCACTTCATTTCCTCCTGAAAGCTGACAACTATCTTAACATGCCTGCCTCCTTCCTTCCGAGCCGAGCATTCACCAGTGTCATCCAGCAACATGTCTGCGAATGGAAAACATCAACAGCCTTAGGCACATGGGGACAGCAAAGCCAGCTTCCCGACACCCCCGCTGCTTGTTGGCATGGCAGCGGGACAAACCAGGTGTCGGGGTGCAGGGAAGTGGGGTGGGGGAAGGGGAGAGGGCAGAATGGAGAATGCAACCACAGAAACCAATGGTGGACCAACCAAAGAACCAGCAGGCTGACGATGCACTTGGCCAAATGGAAGTGCGAGGCAGAGGCTCAACCAAAACGATAGCAACGCAGCGTCATGGGTAAGAAATCAAAGCGTCAGCCTCAATATGCTTACAAAGAAAACCTACGTCATGTTCGCTCATGATGGTGCTGGCCAGGAATCCATCCTGAAGGCAGGAAGACCACAGACCAAGCCATTGCCCCAACGGGGACCTGCTACTATGGGGTTTCTATGCAGCATTCGGCTGTAGGTCAGCCTCTTAAAATGGATCAAACAGAACTCAGCATGGTGGACAAGAGGATCCAAGCTAATGGCCTGGAGAACTGGGGGCACTGGAGCAAAGCATGACAGCAGTCTAACGGCTGAGCTCATGTCGGTAGCAGACGCACACCCAGACACACACACACACCCCAAGTGCACGCACGCCTGTTGCCTCGCCATTTGATCTTTTCATCTGCTTCTCTTGGGACTCCTGCGCGGAGAGTGGAGTGCCGGCTGCAGGCCCTGGCCTGCCCGCAGCCCCGGGATGCCACTCACCCAGGCTGGTTGACTCCGTGAGGTTCAGGCTGTGCTGGGAGAGGCCCATGGACTGCCTAGGGGAGGCCGAGAGGGACACCTGGGAGGGCGCCCGGCTGCAGCCACTGCCTTGAGACTCGGACTTCAGCCGGTCGTTCTCAGCTTTCAGCTTCTCTATTTCACTCTGCAAAGAGTAAGGGAGAGGCTCGCTTACCAGGTGGATGGAACACGAACAAGCATCTTCTGGAGGAGGGACGGGATAGTCCCGTGCAGGGATCAGGCGGGAAACCAAGCCGAGGCCCGGCCAGCCACACCATCGGCAAGGTCCGGCCGCGCTGGCTGTTCTTGCGCGCACACAAGACCCTGTCTGGCGGGGCATCTCCCTTCAGTCCTCTCCTTGTGGAGAGATGGCCTTTGAAGACCTCAGAAATGCTTCCCAGAGCCTGTTGCCTGAGTCTTAACTGAGAAAGAGTCTTACCATCCGAGAGGTTCACGAGACTCTGGGCTTGACAGGTTTCTTTCCCGTAGGGCTTAGAGCCTTTAGGAGCTCCTCTGCACGGTGGACCTGAGAGGGGGTGCAGAGTGTGCAGCAGTCCTACACACAGCTGAGCCTGGAGCTCTCCTTTCAGAGCCTCTCACGGAACAAGCACTCTATGGAACCTCCTTTGGGAAATGCTGGTTCTCCAGTGAGGGCCCATTTGGCAGAGCCCACAGGGCTCTTTCATCTCTACACTTCTATAGGGAAAAACCTACCATGTGCACAGCATCGGGGCTGCATCCAGAAAAAGGGATGCCCAAAAAAGAACAGCCAGAAGACCCAAACGCCTTCTAGTCCAGGGTGGTAGGTGAGAATACCTCTAGAGGAATTCAGATGAGGGCACTAACTCTTACAGATGCAGGACCTGGAGAAGCTTTGTAGAGGGGGAGGCTAATCCTTGAGGGAAGGATCCAGTTCGGCTGTGCAGAAGGCTCTCCCCGCAGAGGGAACACAAGGACTATGACACAGAAATTCCTGGCGCCGGCAAAGGGAGCGGTCAGGGGCTCCCTCTGGCTGATGATTCTGGGAAGTGGAACTGCAAGTGGGTGGGTGGCAGATTCCGAGTACAAAGGATCCCACAGAAGCCCTCGGCAGGGTGGGGGGGTGGGAACCATGGTACGCGGAGCCACTGGAAGTCACACCAAGGGGGGAGGCACGGTTCTGCCTAGGCTTTGAAAAGATTCGTCTCTGAGCAATATCTGGGAGGGCATGAGAAGAGAAGGAGCCTTACTCCTCTGGAAAAGAAAGAGCAAAAAAGAGTGGAGGAGAGAAAGAGGCTCACAAAGCAGAGGGCTGACACTTTCTGTGGACCCGGGGGCGTGGCGGACAGCAGTGCTCCTTCCCGGACAGCCTGGGGCTCGGCCCGTGCTCCGGGGCTCACCTGCATCCTGTTCATGGCCTCCCGGAGCTGGTCAAGCTGGTGTGCGGAGCTGAGGGCTTCTAGGCGGATGTCTGTCAGCTTCATCTCCTTGTCTCGCAGCTCATTTCGGAGCTGCATGACCGTCTCGGCTTCACTATCAATGCACTCTGAAATGCTAGGGAAGGAGAGGTATTAACTGATGAGAGCAGCTCTGAGATCATCTCCCTTCAGTCCTCCACTGACCACCGGCCCATGTCCACCAGCAGGTTTGTTCGGCAGTCACCCCGTCTAACCAGCCGGCCGGGGCTTCCCGGAGGCGGTAACACCAAAGCTCCTGAAATTCACAGACCATATTGCTTCTCTATGCTCTTTCTTTGCAGAGCTCAGGCGATCAGAATGGCTTTGGTGTGCCTTCAGCAAAATTCCAATAATCTGGGATAAACAGGAGTCGGCAAAAGGGAGTAGTAACCTTCGGGGTTTGAAACCAATCCCCCCATCCCAATGTGTACAGTTGGGCCCCTGTAATGACACTGCATGGCCCTTGAGATCTAAACCCACTCGGAGAAGGAGGGTCAACTGTCTGTTTTAAAGATTAGACACTCTAAGGTCAAATAGCTGAGGGGTGATTTTTATTTGCCCCAAAGTGAAAGTAACCAAAAGATTCTCGTGGAAGGAGTTAGTCTATTTTGGGTTACATTCTAAAACTCAATCTTTTAAAAGTGTCTTAAGAGAGCAACATTCTTTCCTTCCCCCCACTTGCCCAGATTGCTTAAATAAGCTCATGGCAAGGAAGAGAAGCATCTCAGATCATCAGAAAGCAGACAGGAGGATATGACACAAAAGTCCCAGTTTTATGTGAAAACTGAACAGTTGTGTGGGGCTTGATGTCTTTCCAGCTGCATGCCAGATCGGGGGACCCCAGGGCCCCGTGGAGTCCCTCTGTCTTAAGCGGTGGTCCATCTAGGCTGGGTTCCTTCTGTGATTAGTTAGGTTTGCTGTTCAGATACCTGACAAGGCAGCATTAAATGGAAGATCAGAAAAGTCATGATGAATCGCCATGTTAGAAAAGAGGGCTCTCTAAAAAAAAAAAAAAAAAAAAGGTCTGTTGATTTCAAAGATCATTGGATCCAGGGTTAGGGGTGATCCAGAATGAGTAGCTTTCACATTTCTTGGACTGAAGATAGAAAAAAAAAGAAAAGAAAAAAAAAAACCCACGTTCATAAAGTTACAAAGCTGAGGTTGATTATCTCCGAAAGACATGGTGAACATGTGGTCTCTGCAGAAATAATTGTGTAGCCCACTCTCCAAGACCAAGTCCTGGATTTGAGGCCAAAAAAAGCCTGACCTGTAAAACTGGTTGAGGGTGTGGAAATGTTCATTGCCAGAGGGAAACCATTTATAATTGTTAAAAGAGATGTAATTGTATTTTGGGGGCAGAAAAGACTAGAAGAAAAGTTTAACACCTGAATGGCCAAATCTTTTCTGTTGTTATTTTCTCGACCTGCACCTGAATGGTTTTCATTTGAGAGATGCAAAGAGAGGAAAACTACCTCTGATTTTTAAAAGTGGTTAGCAGCCAAGGAAGTTTTTTGGCTTCAAAATCTTCTAAAACCTCTAACAAACTCCTAAAAATGTTATGATTATTCCCACCCTATGCCTGTGAGAAACTGAGGCTAAAAGATCTGGGATAAGAGGCTAGAAAATATCTTTAGACTTCAGATCCTCCTATCGCTTCTTGGCCTTTTGCCTAAGATCAAGTGTAGACTTCAGATCCTCTTCTCCCCACCCCCCCACCCCTGTGCTTTGACTAGCCTAAGGTTTGTAAGGTTTAACTATATGGTCATGCCTTTTCTGGTTTGCCAAGGTTTGCAGAGGGAGCTCGCAAACACTGGCTTCTTCTTCAGAGAGGAGTATGGTTTCCTGGTTTAAATGGAGTGTAAAGTCTGAACCAAATTCCATCGTGACACTCCCAGTCTTTGCTAAACCGCGCCCTGCATGGACCTCGGAGGCTCCAGTTCACTGCAAGGAATTGTTGGCTTCGATTCACACCATCAGTCTGGTGTGTCTGGCCCTCTGCGGCAGGCGTCTTGCCCCAGTCTCCTTCACAGGGTCTGTACCTTCCCCCTAGAAAGCTTTCACAGCAAGAGGGACAAGACTTCTTCAGCACCTGCTTTGTGGGATATATTACATGGGCTACTTCGCAAAACCTGGCCAGTGACTTTACAAAGAGAAGCAAACTAAGATAAGGCTTGTGTTGAGAATAAGTGCACCAAGAGTACTGTGCTCCCCCCAAATAGCCCAGTTCTCAGAAACACACAACTGCAAGATGACATGGGAGGAATATCCTACTCAACAGAGATGACGTTGAAAATTAAATTCTTTAAGATTTAATTTTCTAGCAATCTCTCCACCCAATATGGGCTCTAACTCAGAACTCTGAGATCAAGAGTCTGGCAGAATCCACCGACTGAGCCAGCCAGGTGCCCCAAAATTAAGTTCTTCTGCAACAGTCCCAGCTAAGTTTTAGTCTCTAACCCTAGTGCCCAAGGCAGCACCTTTTCCCTTGGTTCCTTCTACACTAGCCTTCTGTTAGGTCTGATAATTTGGTTGCGCTTAACAGGGTACCCCCTGCATGGCTGCTGGCTGTTCCAGGACCAGGGTTCTCGGCATCACTTCCGGTGTCTAATCACACTGGCCGATACGTAATAGGTGCTCAGCAAATGCTTACTGAATACATGAACAACTGTGCCAGGTATCTGATGTATATTATTTAATTTACTCCATCGTGGAGATGTATTACAATTATCCCCTTTTAACAGAGGATCATAGGGGAAGGGAGGAAAAAATGAAACAAGATGAAACCAGAGAGGGAGACAAATCATAAGAGACTCTTAATCTCAGGAAACAAACTGAGGGTTGCTGGAGTGGTGGGGGTGGGAGGGATGGGGGCGCTGGGTGATAGACATTGGGGAGGGTATGTGCTATGGTGAGCACTGTGAATTGTGTAAGACTGATGAATCACAGACCTGTACCTCTGAAACAAATAATACATTATATGTTTAAAAAAAAGAAAAGAAAAGAAAAAGAAGATAATAGGAAGAGAAAAATGACGGCCGGGAATCAGAGGGGGAGATGAACCATGAGAGACTATGGACTCTGAGAAACAAACTGAGGGTTCTAGAGGGGAGGGGGGTGGGGGGACGGGTTAGCCTGGTGATGGGTATTAAAGAGGGCACGTATTGCATGGAGCACTGGGTGTTATACACAAACAATGAATCATGGAACACTACATCAAAAACTAATGATGTAATGTATGGTGACTAACATAATAAAATAAATTTAAAAAAACCCCAAAAAACAATTATCCCCTTTTAAAAAGGGGGAGGCTGAGTCCTAGAGAGATTAACGTGCCCATTAAAAAAATCAGGATAACAGAATTGGGATAGAATCTGGTGGGTCTCCTAAGTCTAGAGTCCATGCTCCTGAACTATATCCAGCAGGCACTCAATACATGCTCATCCACTTCATGGACTACTTACTGAAGCAACCTGATGCAGATTTTTTCCGACTCAGTCCCTAACATGTTACTCCCATATTTCCACTGTCTTGGCCAGATGCAGGGCTGGTGGCATACCTAATTTTAAACGCCTCAAGTGTGGGAAACACTGCCTTCCCATACCACCATTCTTTTCGCCCACAGGGTAGGAACTTTTCTGGACCCCGGACTCCTCTGCCTTGGGTTTCTTCTTTGAACTTCCTCTCACATCTAGATTTGTACATTCTTACAAACCCTTCAAGGTTGGAAAGAAGCATTTGCTCTCTGCCCACACTCTGGAAAACCAGACCAAAAACAAACATCTCCAGTGTGCCTGGATGCTGTGGAATGCCAGAGAAGGGCAGCAGAGCCCAGAGTCTGCCCCGCCCAATCCCTACGGGGAGAGCGGGTTTGGAGGCAGCATTCTCTCGATGGCCACCGGGAATGCTGCATAGCCAAGTGCATCATCCACTCTCCCGCATCCTCTCCGGCTGCCCGGCAGCACTTGGCCCAGCTACCGCCCCCCTCCCAGCAGTTTCTTTTCTCTGCTCCCAGTTTCCTCCCACCTCTGCCCATCCCGCTGGCGGTTCTCCTTGCTCTTTAGAGCACCCAGAGCTCAGTTGTTGGCCCTCTGGCTCCTCTCCATCTCTATCCAGCCCTATGGAGAATCCTCCAGGTTCCCAGCTTTCAGGACCACCCATGAGCCCATGTCTCCCAGATCTATACCTGCAGGAGTCCCAGGCTGGCTGGCGCCTCCACATGGATGTCTCCTGAGCAGCTTGGACTTAACAGTCAAGCCAGAGCTCCTGAAGCCTGCCCTGCCCTGCCCATGCCTCCTACCCTTTCCAGAAACATACCCAGGTACGCAAGTTACAAATCCAGGAACACTCAAGGATTATTCTTCTCTTTCCCGCACACCTGACATCACCACGTGCTGTCAACTTTCTTCTAGAACACATCTTAAAGCCACCCAGGACTCACTACTACTCTGAGTTACCATTTGTTTCACCTAATATTTGAATGTCTGCAAATCCCACAGTAGCTACCCCCATGTAGCTCATACTGTATTTTTTTGGGTGGTGGTGGTGGTAGGGACAAAGAACAAAGAACTAATAACTTGAGGAACTCTACAGGTCAGGTGGTGACATGTGCCATGGTGAAAAACAGAGCATGGGTCAAGGGGGTGACGGGGAGTGTTGGCTGTGGTGGGGGTGTTATTTTATGCAAGGTGCGCAGGCAAGGCATCAGTGAGAAGGAAACATCGAGCAGGGCCCTGAAGAGAGAGACTATCTAGGGGAAGAGTGTACCAGGCAGAGGGCACGGAAAGGGCAAAGGCCCGGGGGTGTGTGACTGGAGTGTTCAAAGGACAGAAAAGAGGCCAGAGTGGGATGGACGGGGGGAGAGCGCTATTAGCCTTTTATGTGGTTGCCATAATTTTACTCTTGCTCCCCCGAATTCCTTATCTGCAGAAAGGAGACTGATCTTTGTGAAACATGAATTCAGATGATCTCACACTCCTGCTTAAAACTCTCCAATGCATGGGGCACCTGGCTGGCTCAGTCAGTGGAGCGTGTGGCTCTTGATCCTGGGGATCATGAGTTTGAACCCCACACTGGATGCAAAGATTACTTAAGTAAACTTAGAAGAAAAAAAAAAAACCTCTCCATGGGATGCCTGAGTAGCTCAGTCTGTTAAGTATCCACCTCTTGATGTTGGCTCAGATCATGATCTCTCAGGGTCGTGAGATCGAGCCCGGCCTCGGTCTCCGTGCTCAGAGGGGAGTCTGCCTGGGATTCTCTCTCCCTCTCCCTCTGCCCCTCTACCTCCACCCCTTGCTGTCTCTCTCTCTCTCTCAAATAAATCTTAAAAACAAAACAAAACAAAACAAAACCTCTCTCCAATGGCTGATAACCCATCACACATAGAAGCAGATGCAAATTTATTTTGACTTCAAAGCCTCCCAAATTCTGGTCCTGCCTGCCTCCATGGCCTCCTTTCCTACCACTTTTCTACTTCCCATCATGCAGCAGCCACACTCGCCACACACCGGCCATCCCTCTTTTCCAGACACACCCAGCCTATCTCCACCTTAGGCTCCTTGCGATCTGGGGGTCAGGAAGGCTGCAGGGAGCCTATTTCCTTTCCCTCCTGGGTGCGGAGATTTCACTTCTTTCCTTGTGGGTGGGAGAGCCCTGCGCAGTGGACTGTGGGAAGAGGGGACATGTGTCTCCCCAGGCCTGGCCCATAAAACTCTCCTGCACACTCTCTTCCCTCCCCCCACCCACCTGCTGGCTGGACACAGAGTACTCAGCAGAGAACTCAGGTCCTGTGGGATGGCTGGCGCACAAGATGGAAGGAGCCTTCCATGGCAGGCCGCCTGCTCACTGACGAGGAGTATCTGTGCTGGGTTCAGAGTGAACCAGAGATAAACAGTCCTATGTCAAGCCACTGAGCTCTGGGACTGTGTATGTTACAGCAGTCAGTGCTATGGACCAGAACTAACCAGTGGTCCCTCTTATCATGCAGATCTCAGCTGGAATGTCACCTCCTTTCCTGACCACCCTGTCCACAGTTGCTGCCAAGTACTCTGTATCCCAACATACTATTTTAATTCCCAGCATGAACCCTTAGCTGATTGTTTTCTAGTTTATTCAGATTTGTTTCATGTCTGCCTTTTGCCCGGGGTCTACCAGAATTGGAACTTCATCCATCTGGTACACTGTTGTACCTGGTGCCTGGCCTGGAGCAGGAACAGAAGCTCAGAAGTGAAATGAGCTATAGTGCGTTGTCCCCACTGGTCCCTAATCCCCAGGGGTGGGACTCTGGTTAACATCGGCTTTGGTCTCTGCAGCACATCTAGAGCAGAGCCCTGCTCACGTGGGTTGTTACATCCAACGTTTAAATCCACAAATAAAGAATAGGGGAGGAGTTCCTTTTTCTCCTGGTCAGAGAAACTGAGCTGCTCTGGGATGATGGATTGCATAAGTCACAGGCAACCTTTCCCTTATTTACCTCTTAGGCTCTCTGTAGGTCAAACAGGACTCACACTCTCGGGTATTTATGTAATTCTTTACACAGGAGCACAGACTTGGGGTGGCCACTGCAGGGATGCACTGCTGTCCCATCCTCCGTGTCCCCCCACCCACCCTGGTTTGCGCCTCACCCATAATGAAGTACACGAACCTGCGGCCATCCTCTTACCAGGGTGCTCCTCAAGAGGAGAGGAGCTGCTAATCTAATTAAGTGAAATGGAGAACCCCCAACAGAGCCATGCTTCATGGGTGGGTGGGGTTGCTGAGAAGTCGAGGCTCTCTGCTGTTTCCAGTCTCCCACTTCCTGTCTTCTGTGGTGTCCAGGCAGTTGGTGCGCTGCAAAGACGCAGCTGAGCCCCTCGTCCACACTGCCCGCACCCATCCCGTAAGTCGGCCTTGGGAGACGTGTGCAGCTGCTGTCTTCAGCAGGGTGGCCTGCTGCTTAAGTGGACTTAGGGATAGCTCCCTACACCTGGCCTCCTGAGACTGAAGGAGAAGAGGAAGGAGGTCCTTCATGCACAGTAGCTGCCTGGGCCCTCACAAGAATCCAGGGAAGGAGATGTAATTAATCTCACTTTCACCCATAATGAAACTGAGGCATCTACAGACACCCACTTTCTTGTCCAACCCCAGCCACAGTGGCTGTCTTCCGGCCACTGTCTCATCTCACTAAATGTCCCTGCAAAGCACTTGAGCTGCAGTTCTTCTTTCCCTCTTGGCCTGGTATACCATGGCCTCTCAGGGAATTCGGTCCTATGGGGCAGCCACAATCTTTCTCACAGCTGCAGGGAGCTGGCTGGGCCGCCCTCTGAGCTGACACCTGGGTCCCCACCTGTCGATCTCAAGCCATTCCTGATGCGCTCCTGCCTCCAGAGTCTGGGCTTTCTGTTTTCAGATGGGGCACAGGACTGTCTCCCTACACCCCTGATGGAGCAATGATCAGTGGGTGCTCACTGGAAATCATGGGAGGTTGGCTGGACAAGAGAAGAGGACTTTTGCCATCTGCATACCTAGTTGCCAAGGGGAATAGCACCTAAGCCAATGTCCCGTGAGCAAACACCTGTTTCACTTAACAGAAGCAGCTGTGTTCCCGAAGAGCTCTTTACAGATTGACTCGTTTAAAATTTACTGGGGAGTCCCTGGTGATGAATCATTTTACCAAATAGAGAACCCTTTGGTAAAGAGAATTATCACTGAGTCTTCTCCATTTTTTAAACTTCCAATTGCTGAGTGCTGACCTCAGAGAAAGAATCACCACCAAATTTTGATCAGAGAAGAATGGTGAAATCTCTTTAAGTCTTATCACAAAAATGAACTAAAATTTCAGCAAAAACTGTTAACATTCACAACACTATCTTCCCCCTCTCAGCAAGATGGTTGTAGCTCTTTCACATCCATTTATCTTGTCTGATCCTTAGGGGACTGGTAGCCAACAACCATTATCCGAGTTTGACAAATAAAAAAATGGAAACAGAGGGGTTAAGTACTTGCCCATGGCCACCCAGTGACACCATCAGAACAATGTAAGATTCCTTTCTCTTTCAACCTCTCCAGTCCTAAAACATTGGAAGAACATGCCCAGTCCTATGAAAGCATGATGTACAAAACTCCAAGGAGAAAATGAATGGTTAACAGGACACCTATCCATTCCTATTTGGGAGGGTTCCTGGGGGCCAAAGGCATCGTCTGACCCACGTGCGTCCCTGACAGACAGACTTACAGGGAGTTGGAGTGAGAGCCCCTCAACAGTGGCGTGGAACCTGTGGAACCGTTGTGTGGTAGCTTTGGTGAGGAAGGCAATGAAGAATCGGTCATCTCCTCGATGTCTGAATGAGAGGACGCAGACTTGGGGGACTTCTTCTTCCCGAAGGCTTGCTTGAAGGAGCTGCGTAACTGAACATACAAGACTGTCAGCCAGACAGGGGTGGCAACCAACACTCAGGCCTTGGCAAAACAGAGACATGCAGACAAAAGAGCAATTAATTCTCCCATGTTTCCCCCCCCACCACCACCAATGACAAAGGTTCCCAACAGCTCTCTTGAATCAGTGCAGTAAGGGAAGAAGAGTTATCTGGTGCTGACAGCTCAGAGGACTGGACCTGTGGGTGACATTCCATGCCTACTCCTGCTTCGAGGCTAGATGCCAACAGCAAGACAGAGCCTGGCTCAGCAGATGGATGGCGGGAGGATGAGGTTACACAGCAACAAAGCAGGATGCTCAGACATGGTGACGGATGCAGAGGAGATTAGTCATATCAATGGATGGGTTAGCTTGGTATCTGATATTAACGTTGGTCTTGCTTACCTCATTGACCTGCCAGGGAAAACGCAAGCAAAAATGGGGAAGGGGAAGGAAAAAAGACAATTTTTAACAGAGAAAGCCAGTGACAGGGAAAGCCTTGGACTTTTCAGACATAACATGGCCAATAGTAAACACCACACACAGAGGAGGTTGCCGGTAGGAACACGAATCTTCCAGAGCATTAGAGGCATCTTCCTTCACTATGAAAGGAAAGGAATAGCGCTTCTGGAAGTCCCTACAATCTGAGTTCTTCCAGCTTCTTTGGCTGAAATGACTGCCCCCAACCTTCCTGTGATTCTCACCCTTTTGTCTCTTAAGGCCTTAACTTTGTTTTTTCTGGCATGTCTGTGTCTTCTTTTCTCAGAGAGAATAGCTTCACTGCTGAGCTAGTCCCAACACGGCTGTAGAGCCTTCGGAGAGATCTACTTAGGAGTTCCTGCTGTCCTTGTGTACACATAAGATGATAGAATAAGCAGGGACTTAGCCGTCTCACTTGTTACTCAAAAAAAGTAGGCATTTGTAAGAAATGTATTAACTATATTGGGAAAAAGGAACTGGCATATCACAAATTCCCCAAATCATGAGCTGGATCTGAAAACTCTAATGAGAACATAAAGAATTCAAGTGCAGGGTCTTCTCTGAAAGCCATGATAAGCACGTATATTTCTAGACCAAAAAAATTAAGTTTTGTCTTGAAAAAAGGTCTTTTAAAAAGTAATTTCTGTTTTACTAAAATCTTTCTTTCCTTCTGAAAACATCCTGGAGGTTTTCTTAGCCATTAAGAAATTCTGAAACAGGCCATTCTGAACTAGTTAATGGGATTTTTTTTTTTTTTAACCCATCGGCATTACATCCATAAGGAATGGCATGTCCCAGTGTGGCTGATCGAGATCCCATTTCCTACTTTTCATCAAATTTCCAGGTACAGAAACAGAAGGATCTGGCACACAAACCATCAACCTAAAGCCTCTGGTAAAGGGCCAAGTGGAAGAGGAGATTACAAGGATTAGACAGAATTAAGTTTTGAGATCACCTGAAAAATGCCCATTATCCAACTTCCCCAATTCTACCGATAACCAAGACCTGTCCTAGTGCAAGTAAATAAGTTTTAGTTCTTGAATTGGAGAATGGATCAACACTGTTTTTCATAGAAAATAATTCTCTCTCATCACTTTGATAATCAAGTCAGACCATATTTTACCAAGAGTATATTAGAAACAGCAACATATGTTAATCCTATTTAAGGCATAGCGAATGAGTTGACTAAAAGCCATTAGTAACAAAGAAAAAACTTCATCAGAATGATGAGAGGGTCACACTGAACTGGCCTTATAGTCTTCTAGTGCAAGTCGTCAGTAACTGAAATTACTCAAACCTCAAGCGCTCTATTACTAGACCTCGCCACCCATCCAAGATAACACAAAATGAGGGAGAAGTGTATGGAATGAATGAGGACATTGAAGCTACTATGGAAACACGATGTTGTCAGCACTGAAGGATGGGGCCCTGTGAGCACTAGCCCACTCCAGATCAACCTGGAATATCCCTGCACTGAAGACAGGGAGCAGCAAATGTCAATCAGAGCTCCACAGCCTCGACACCACTAAAAAATGGGTGGGTACAAGGGTGCCTGGCTGGCTCGGTCAGTGCAGCATGCGACTCTTGATCTCAGGGTCGTGAGTTCAAGTCCCACACTGAGCATAGAACCTACTTAAAAAAAATTGGGTGGGGGCGCCTGGGTGGCTCAGTTGGTTAAGCGACTGCCTTCGGCTCAGGTCATGATCCTGGAGTCCCGGGATCGAGTCCCGCATCGGGCTCCCTGCTCAGCAGGGAGTCTGCTTCTCCCTCTGACCCTCCTCCCTCTCATGCTCTCTGTCTCTCATTCTCTCTCTCGCAAATAAATAAAAAATTAAAAAAAAAAAAAAAAAAAAAAAAATTGGGGGGGGGGGTATAATATTCCCAGGAGAATGGGAAAATACTGCTCAAGACACCACTGTACAGAAATTCAAGTGGCTCACTGGGATTATGGAAACATGGAGAAATAATGCATTGGAGACCAGCTCTACTAAACTTGCCATTTTGAAGTACAATGCACCAGTTTAAAACCTTTCACTAACTCCTAATATCTACATTATGAAACTTTTACTTACAGGACATGGTCAAAAATTGTTCAAAGAAAATTGGTTTCATGCTATCATATGGAATTGTGCGAAGAAACAGATAAGGATTATGGATAATGATGGGATAACTAGCAATACACACTCCAAAAAAATAAATAAATAAATAAGAAGAAACCACTGAAGAGTAATTTTGCTCTAGTACCTGGAACTTTGTGGCTAACGTTATGAGGAGGATGAAATGACACGTATATGAAATGAAAGATGAGTATGTCACAGAAAGTCTCATGAAATGGAAAAACTCCAAGATGGTGGTACTTCCGTTAAGTCCTGGTGCTTGAGCAGCTGAGCACAACACTGAGTTTAGTGGAAACATATCCGTAAGCTTCTGTGGATCGACTCCCAAAGGTCTACGCTCTGGGGGGAGACACACTGGTCTGTTAGTACCCACAAGGTCTCTGGATGCCTACTCACCCAATTCTTTCTTTTCTTCTTCCTGGCGTCACTCTCCATGTTGCTGCCCACGCTGGAGTGGCTGGTAGTGCTGTTGATGCTGGAGACACTATCAGAGGAGTGCTGTCTGCGGATGCGGAGGTCTGTAGACTGCGAGGTACCGCTTCCTGGGGACCCAAGGCAGGAGATCAGCGGCTGCCACCTTCAGCCCACTCCTCTGTCCCAGGGAATGACTCTCATAGCTAAATCTGCACCCCTGAGGACCGCTAGGTATTTCCCATTCAACATCACCTTCTGCTCTCAGCTGCTGGTTTTAAGATCCTTGAGCAGGTACACGTTAGGCCCTCTTCAGTCAATTAAACCAGGGCCCAATTTTAGCCACTCCACCAAAAAGAAGTCAGGGGAGGCTTCGAGAGAGAATTCCCAACCCCCCCCCCCCCACCCCGCCAGCTCTCTTAAGCTTGAGACAGGCACCGATTAGGTCTCTGAACGGTGGCAGTCACCTGTGTTGTCTGGGCATCCCCCCTCGCCCCACTCTGTTCTGTATGCTCCTGCCTCACTAGCCTTCTCTTGGCCCCTTGGCAATGCCGAGCCCGTCTCATCTCAGGGCCTTAACGTGGGTGAGCCCCTCGTCGCTTACTCGGGCTGGCCAAATCTCGCTAATCCCTCCCATTTCAACTCTGTCATCGCGTTTCAGGAGGCCTGATATCTGAAATAACGGTGATGCCCAATAAAGGGTATGGCCAGTTTCCTGCGCAAGCACAGAACGAAACCCGCAGCCTACTCTTAAGAACACTGGCTGCAGAGTCAGAGAGACCTGGGTTCTAGCCCCACTTCTCTATCTTACTACCCTGCGACCTCTGGATGAGACTCTCACTCCCACAGCTCAGTGTTCTCATCAGTCCACTGTGGAGAGGACCAGCACTGCACTCATAAGGTGGTCGTGGAAGGAAAATGAGATCATGAATAATTTACAACACGGAGCAGAGTGCTTAGGACACAGTGAGAGTCCCGTAAATGCTGGCTGTCACTGTTGACTTCTACCATCACCAGGTGTATACACTGCAGTGGGAGGGCTCTCGTCCTCACAGCCCCATTTGGCCCCCCCGGGTAAGATACACAAACACGAAGCAATTTACTCAGAAATACTTCCCTGGAGGAACATGAGATGCTCGTTTCAGGTTGGGCTGCATCCACATGTAAATATCAGAGCCTGATAAATCAGGGCACAGGTGAAATTAAGTGAAACACTTTTGATACTTTGCCAACAGACAGATTTCCTTCCGTTTTGGAGATACATCGGGGAAGAGGCTGAGCTGGAAGAGCTCTCTTCCTAGGGGCCTGGATTATGGACTGAAAGCGTCTGCCTCCCAGGACCCGTCCGACTGACACGGACACGCACCCCGGGGCAGGGAGGCTGCGCCCCATGTTGTCAGGGGAGGGTTCCTAAGGGCAGGCAGGTGGGGCTGGAGACTGCTCCTCTTTCTTTTACCTTTGCAGTTGAGCTCCGGTGTGTTAATGACCCCATTAATGGCAGCCTGGGCGGCTGCGTTCTGTTTCTTCAGCAGCTCGATGGTTTTTCTTAACTCATTCAGTTCTGAATCCTGAGGAACAGCAAGAAATACTGGTCATCCTACAATCACCCTGTACAGAGTTCAAATGAAGCGCAACTCGGTTTCAGCATGGCAGTGCAGGCAACGAAGGAGTTCCACAAAAGCTCTTTCCCATGCGTTAGGTTGGATCAATTTTCAGCGGGCACAGAAGCACACAAAAGCAGCAGAAATAGGGGTGCCTGGGTGGCTCGGTCGGTTAGGCGGCTGCCTTGGCTTGGGTCATGATCTCAGGGTCCTGGGATCGAGCCGCGTGTGGGGCTCCCTGCTCAGCAGGGAGTCTGCTTTTCTCTCTGCCCCTCCTTCCTGCTTGTTCTCTCCCTCTCTCTCAAATAAATAAAATCTTTTTTAAAAAAAAAAGAGGCAGCAGAAATAGGGCTGTGAGATGTGGAGGGTTCCTGCCACAACACCACCCCACCCCCATCCGGGCCGTATTTGCACTCAACAGGGTGCAACTCTTTACGATTCGACTCCAAGAGTTCAAATACACTAAAATCTATACCGTTCTCTGGAGCAAGAGGGAGTCTGATTTGGAGGTTTGCTGTTAATTCTAAGCAGGGAGGAGTGTTTTACCTTTTGCTCAGCTGTCATGGTCAAACTCTGGAGCCTGATTGTCATGTTTCCAAGACTCTGTTCAAAGGCGGCCACCAGGTGAGCCTGGAGGAGGAAAGACACAGCCTTAGTTAGATTACCTTGCAAGGCAAGAGGGCCCAATGGGTGCTGGGTCTTAAAAGCTGAAATCCTCACTGGGGCCATGTGGGTTAGCTTCCGTCTACTTCTTCAGCCCCTGGAGCCCCACTCCCCACCTCTCTTTGAGATCCAGTCACTCCAGCTTATCACGTCCTTAAAGATCCTGTGCTTCTTCCCGCCTTAGGTCCTTTATACCTGCCTTCCCCTCTGCCTGGAATGCTCTTCCCCCACTACCTTCCTGTCTGATTTTTATACATCCTTCTCAAGAGATCTCAGCTCGTATCTTCATGACACCCCCAGATGGGCTGGTTCCCTCGTGTGCGCTCGCGAAAGCATGTGGACTGCTGGTCTATGTGCATTTTAAGCCACAGAGACACAGGTACTCTTGCGACTGCTGCCTCACGTCTGTCTCCTCTGCTTCCCTGTGCTTTGTTCACCAAGTGCCAAGCTCACAGGAGAGGCTCATGTCGAGCATGTTTGTAGAAGGGATGAACAAAGTGGCTGGCATATTTTGCCTGTTCTAATCCTGGTTAATAAAAAGCCACTGAAAGGCCCATCTGCTACCTCCCTGGAGAAACCTTCCCCTGTTCCTCCAGGGAGTTAGGACTTTCCCCCAAGGCCCCTCTGTACTTTTATACACCTCTGTTAGAACACGACAGCAGACACACCACTATTTCATATAGTACTAAAACATCTTGAAAAATGCTGCCAATTATAATTAAAATATGCATCCCACTTTCAGAGATGTTAAAAATGTGGGGGAAAAACATGTATCTTAGAATTGAGAAATGGGATGGTTTTCTGTCTGCCCCTTTCTCTGCAACCCTCTTCAAGGACAAGATGCAACCTCATGTCCTAACATGAAGCCTTTTTCTTCCTCTGCAGAGCAGCAGGTGATGCACTGGTTGGTTGACTGAGGGTCCTGATAATATGGTTAAAATCAAGAATAAAGAATGGACAAGAGAGCTAATCCTATTGACTGCAGTTTCTCCATCTTAAAATGGGTGCAGTATCTACTTTCCTCCCAGGGTTATTGTGAGCATTAATTAGGTGAAACAATACAGGTGAATATAGGTCTATAAACATAGGAATGAACGGACACTGTGGGGAAAGGAAAGGAAGAGGTTTGGGCTTGAGAAAGTGACAAAAGATAGGATGAGAACACAGGTGGGGAGAGATCAAGAAAGGGTTCTAGGAGAGGGGTGGGCAGATACAGGATAAAGAGAAGAGCCAGCAGAGGAAATGGGAGTCTTGGGAGGAAGAAGTGAGATCTGATCGTGTGGTATGTAACATTCTAGAAGAAAAGACGACTGATGTACTCAGTGAAGAATCAAAGTAACGGAACAACCAGGGGGCAGGTGGGGCATTGTCCTGGGTTGTGAGGGGGGTCAGCGGACATTTGAACTTAAAGAGGAGAGATCGGAGAAGTGAGTCAGAGGCCTGTCACTAGACTCCATCATACCAGAACAGTTGAGGGTAAGACATCTCTAGCATAAACTATTGGGTCTTTCTTCCAACAGCTGTAGAAGTTAGCAGGGAGCAGGACCTCTTGTAATAGAAATGTTAAGTGGACTGCCCAGTTTCTTTCTGAATGCATTCTCTAGCCCTATTAAAAACTGAGAAAAATGCTGTTCCATTTTGAAATCAAGAGATATGCTTTACTTTAGTTTGCCTAGGAGAATATGGTAGAACCAAAGCCAATCAATTCAAGACAGTTTACATAGTGGATGAAGGAAAAAGGGCCAGGGCAAGGATGTTGAAAAGAATTACTGCTAACCTTGCATTTCAAAGGAACGCCAAGGTCAAATTTAAATGACCGAATTTCCATTTATTTCAATTCTTTGATTGCCACCCAGGATTCTATTTGTAGGCACTCATACTTTCTATTTGCTTAAAAACAAAACCTGACCCCAAGAAGACTGCTATTAAGAAAGTGTTTTTACAACCTCAAGAAGAAGCCACGTTTGCGCTGAAGAACCAGAGGTTCGCATTTTGCTGTCGAGAGAAAGGACTGACTTTGGGTCACGAGCAACTGTGAAAACACGGGCTGAGAGGCTGTTCGGAGCCTGGTTCAGAGCCACACAGCAGACTTCTTACCAAGTGCCATTCTTACATTCCCAGGAAAACAAACACGAATGGTATAAAAACACCCAGAGAAGGTGGCTTTGAGTAGTTTGTCCTAGAAAAACAAACACAGCTTGGCCTGGGAGGAAGATGGCAGACAATAAAACACGTTAGCAAGGCCAGTGGTGTGTGGTAAGACTAAATATTTACTTTCAAACAATACTGGATTCAGTGGCTTTGGTGAGGAGCAAAACATACTTTTGGAATAATAATAATATAAGGGATCTCACTCAGACTCTTCTGGAACAGAGGATAAAGTTCCAAATGGCCCAATGTAAGGTCCTTGGGGCAGCACCAGGTCACTGGAGGATTGAACCCCTGTTTTTTGATAAGTAAACTAATGACTATTTTTTGAGTAAAAGGGCACCAAAGGACAGACAGCAGTAATTCCTAACTAGGGGAGTAGCTCCAAATCACTTGGGATGGGGGTTGCAGTCAAATCTCACATTCGGATTATATCCAGATTGGCTCACTGGGTCTGGGGTTGGTCTTTGATTTGAATGGTACCCAGATGAAGACTATTCATAGAAGAATACCTCTGGGGATTTTTTTTTAAAAAAGTAAGGCCTAAGCTTCAAAATTCAGATCTCACATCAATTTCTGATGTTCTTTTGATAGCATTACTGATGGCAGAAGAAGCAAAGAGAATAAAGAAGGATAATGATATCACCCTAATATGGGAGGGTGAGAAAAAATTCAAAGACTCTCAGAAATGTGAGAGAACTCAGGAGAATGAACAACAGTGAGAGAAGTTACGAGTTATTGAGCTTGTAATTAAGGTCAAGTACTGCACGAGGCACTTCATGTGCAGACTTTAAAGAGAAATGATTTCCTTCAGTTGACTCAGGCTTCAGCCAGGAACAACCTGGGCAAAAACCCCAGGTAAATGATTCATTCAAGTATTGACTCAGCTTCCTGGTCCAGGGAAGACAACCTTTTGAAGTTGCTTTTCATTTTAACAGCATATTATGGGGTCGTGCAGGCTGCTTTTCCACAGGCTCACACACAAGTGTCTGGGGTCTCAGACTGGGCTGTGCGCTCCCGGCAGGATGCCTTGCCTCAGGGGCATCTCCTCACCTTCCAAAACCTCAGGCTCTGCCCTCCAAACATCAGCCCTCACCAGCTCACAGCTCTGCAGCGGGGCTACTTTGCAGACCAGAAGTTTCTGCCTCTACTCTGACCCCCTAATCTTATAACCACACCACGGTCAGGAAGCTTTGTGAAGAGCAAACCGAACCGCCTCACTGCTCTGCTTAAAACACACCAATGGGGCTCCCCTAACTTCAGTAGGAAGCCCAAACTCTCCACCTAAGAGCTGAGAGCATCTGTGATGTGTGGACATGCCCCTAGCTTTTCTTTGATGCCTCTTCCCCATATCCAAGCCATAGATTCTAATCACACACTGAGCTACTTAAGAGTTTCCAAATGCACTAAGATCTTCACCCTGGGCTTTTGCACAAACACACTTTGCACACTGGTTAGAATGCTGCCTTCCCATGCATCCTCCCCTACACAGCAACCCTCAGATGCCACCTCTTCCAGGAAGTCTTTCCTGATCTCCCCCCACACGCGAGACTGAGTGAGGTGCTCCTCACATATTCCCACAACCTTCTCCCTTTCTCTCTCTCTTAACAGTTATCATGTCATAGCGAAACAGTTTTGTCTCTCTGAGGTACCAGAGAAAGCACACTAGGATGACAGTGATCGTGCTTGCTTTCCTGTTGAACCCATGGTGCCCGAGGCATAGTTGGCACTTAAACAGTTGTTGAATTCAATGCTGGTTGGCAGCACTTCCTGAACACGTAATTGTGTATATTATAATTATAGAATAGTCAGCTATTTCTTTGGAGCCTTAGATTTCTTTCTTTTTTCTCCCCCTCCCGCCCCCCAGCTGAAGATGAAAAGTTTCGGAAAGAGGAAGAAAAGGGAAACGAACATTTCTGAGCCCTTAACACATTCCAGTACCAACCACACGACAACCCGGAGAGCTGAGGCTTACCGTCCACCGCTGCACAGAGAAGTCAGTGCAGGCTCAGGGCTTAAAGACGCTGCCCGGAGTGCAGAGCCAGGAGGCACCAGAGTGGAGGCTCACACTCACGAGGCTAAAGCCTCCCACGGGACTGCTTCCACGGTCCGCAGGGGCAGGCGGCCTTGACGTCACGGCAGAAGGGAGCAGCGGCTGCCCCCCGCCCGTGGCTAGCACCCAGTATCTGTACTCACGTTTGCGGTCAGCTGCGTGGTCAAAGCTGAAACCTTTTCCTGGGAGGCATCCAGCTCCCGCCGCAGTTTGCGAATCTAAAGGCGGCAAGGGACAGAGTTGCTTAAGGAGCCCATTCCCAGGTTGAGCGGGGCGAAGTAATGGATAATAGCGAAGGAGGAAATCCAACCAGCAAACTGTTCCTTACCTCTGACTGGCACTTTTCTTCTGGCTGTAAGGAAATCATAAGGGAAATTAGACCAGTTGAGGAACAAAGAATGGGGCAATGTAGCCTGTGGGGAACACCAGACTGGGATGCTTACAGCAGTCCAGAAGAGTTACGAGTTTCTTTCCTGGTGTATTTTTCTGGATAAACTGGTTCAGTTAATTTGACCAATCAGAAAGGCCAAATACGAACAGCATATGATTATAAGAAATCAAGAAGAATGAGAACACCACTCCGACTATTTTGGCTGTGAGGAGCCCCCCTGCTCCCATGCGGAGATGAAAAGTGGTCAGGTGCTCAGGAGGAGGTGTGACGAGAGGGGCTGAGCCAAGGTCGGGATGTCCAAATATAGCAAATAAAAATACAGGTTTAAGTCCATCCCATGCTACACTGGGGACAACTCATACTAAACAATTATCAGTCATCCATCTGAATTTGTAACGTGACTGGGCATTCTATATGAGGTGTGGTGATCCTAGCAGGAGGACCGCTCATGGGCTAAGCGCCCGTTTTACCCCTCCCTCTGTTCTCTCTGAGGCGCTGCCCCAGGAGCAGCTGCAGGGCAGGAAGGACTCTCGAGTGAGGGAGGCTGAGAGCCCCCATCAGCCAGCCTGCTGACTCCCCGGGTTGTGAGGATCTTCCCGCTGCCCCACCTCACGGCTCCCAGTTACCTGGGACTCCGGGAGGTATGGGTGCAGCCTGCGGGCCCTCTCACTGGGAGAGTCCTCCCTACTGGGCCCTGTGTATGCGCGGACACAGCTACCTGCCAGCCAGGGACTACAAGGCTACCCCTCTCCTCCCCGAGGGGGAACCCGCAGCAGGGGGAACCTTTCTTTTGTTCTCTTTGGGTTCTCATAAAAGATGACACCCCCACATTCTGGGGCAATGTTGCAAGCGTTCCTACCTTCCGTCTACTCCCCCGCCCTCCATTTGCACTTCCCCGGGGGTGGGGCAGTGACCTGGAAGCCAGGTAGGCAAGTGAAAATCAGTAAAGACTCTTTTTTGTCCTTGGGTCCTAGATGTGTGTCCTAATCCAATGCTACCAGTGACAAATCCGTTACTTTAAAAAATCAGCATCTGATGCTGGGGGTCTACTTCTCCATTAGCTCAGAATGCAGAGTGGTATGATTCATTACACCCCGCAGACCCTACACCCATCAGCTGTGGCAGGTGGGGGGCTGGTTCCTGTCTGATCTCCCTTCGCCCCCTGCTCCCACCCCACTGCCCTGACTCCTGATCCTGCCCAGGAGGGCCCTCCCCCCAGCTGGCTTCTAACAATAGCAACTGGTTTTTAGGAATACTGGGGCCGAACCATTTAATCCTTGCAAGAGCCCTACAGAGTAGGTTTGTATTCCTTCTGAGGCACAGAGAGGTCAGACCTTCCCTAACGTCACACAGCTGAACAATCTCCTCATCTAAGAAATGTCTTCAGGAGAACACTGGGAGATGTCCTCAGGGCTTACTCTTCCCTCTCTGGGAATATTCATCCATCCCTCTTTGTCCATCTGTGTTCATCTATTCGTGCCTACTACCACCACCTATCAAACATTTATGGATATCCTACTATGTGTCATGCACTGTGTTAAGGACCCGGGGTACAGCTGTGAGCATGACCGCCAAGTTCCTCACCTCAGGTAGTAAGTGGCATTTATTGAAAGCTTACCACGTGCCAGAGACTGTTCTAAGCCCTTTCTGTTCATTATTCATTTAATTCTCATAACAACCCCGAGTAGGTACGAATACTATCACTTACATTTTGCAAATGAGGTAACTGAGGCACAGTGAGGTTGAATAATTTGTCCATGGTCACAGCTGTTACGAGGCAGAGCTGGGACGGGACCCAAGGTAGTCCAGCTCTACAGTCTATCACCTTAACGAGCACATTCTCCTACTCTTTTACTACAGCTACATTCTCATGGTGAGGCCTTCCCGAAATCAGGCCCCTGACTTCTGAGTCTGACCCAAAGGAGAAAGTTAATGGTGAGAACGTCATGGTGATCCAATGTTTGGGAGGCTAGCGGAGGTCTGTCAGCAGGCTCAACCATCCATACAGGATGAGCCCTGCCTCTAAACACTTGTGTCCACGGGCCTAACACCCCTTCCCCATACCTCTGCCACTGTCTGTCATTCTCCCCGCCTGTGTCTAGGGTTGGGCCCCTGGTCAAGACAGCAGCCTGGGAAATCATGTGTTTTGTATCTTACCCCCAGTTGCTGCTCTTCTGTACATCTGGAAACTCTAAGTGAGGCCGGGAGCCTCCCTCCCTTCAGCAGTTCCCCCAGAACTCAATGGCCGCCCCCTACCGTCCAGGAAAGCCAGTCCAATGCCAGATGTGGCCCCTTAGATTTTCTCTACTCCAAGGGTTGGCAATGAGCAGGCAGTTGTTTACCAACTACCAACGTGTGACCTTTTCTTTCCTTTGTAATTAAAATTAAAGGCAATTTTTAGCCAGAATGAGCATTCTTGAATATCCAAGAATTAGGTATCAGGGAAAAAAACCCTATTATTATCCAATAAGGGCCTTTAAGACACTGAGCCATTAAACAGGCTCTTTGGCCTGGGTTGGTGGCAGCTTAGGAAACCCCAACAATCTCTTTTTAGACAACAAATAAGAACTTGTTCACCTTAACATTTACAAAGGTGCATGAGTTTCAGAATGCTATCATTGCCGAGAGATGAATAATAGATAAGGGACCCCACGCCCATGCTGGGAGGTAGCAGTGTAGCCAGATACAGTTTGGAATCAGCAGATTGCGCTAGCATGAAAACATTCAAATGTTGGACTATTTTTTTCTTATAAAAGCCTACAAAAGTAACCTATATGCTCAGAGAAGGCACAGGTAAAGGAGAACATTCGACTCGGTGAATGTCAGAGGTTGTAGGCACCCCAGAGACCCCCCCAGCCCCCGAGAACAAGGACAAAACTGACAGCTACCCGGAATAATGAGGCATTTGTACAAAGTCACACAGTGAGAAAAAACAAAGATGAGGCCCTGGGTCTCTGGCTATCTAGTTAAACATGGAATTGGAGAATTATTCCTAGGTCTCTGGTAATGTGTGAATTTCTATCAACTCAGAAAGAACCATTTGAAATTTCCTGTCCACACACCCAGGGCGCCTGGGTGGCTCAGTCGGTTGGGCGACTGCCTTTGGCTCAGGTCATGATCCTGGAGTCCCTGGATCGAGTCCCGCATCGGGCTCCCTGCTCGGCAGGGAGTCTGCTTCTCCCTCTGACCCTCCCCCCTCTCATGTGCTCTCTGTCTCTCTCATTCTCTCTGTCTCAAATAAATAAATAAAATCTTTAAAAAAAAAAAAAAAGAAAGAAATTTCCTGTCCACACACCCAGAACAGGAGCTACGGAAAGGCACCTGACTACAAGGCCTTGCAGTGGTCTGCACGAAGGCAGTATGGCCAGGAAACGCCAGGGACAGCTTCCACCATCTGAATTCTCACAGCGGGAGAAGCTCAAGCTCTTTCCCTCTGAGGCTGGCTGATGCACGCCAGCCCCTGTTTTTCACTCTTCTGAGAAGAATCTACCCTCTCTGTGTTGGCAGGAAACTCTGGGAACTCCACTGGGAAAACAAGGGGCTCGGGCACAGCGATGTCTGCCCTAGATGCTCTGCACCAACCCTGTGAAGGTAGAGTCTCATAACCCTAGGTGTCCTTGAGCGCCTCTGGCTTCCTCCTTCAGAAGCAGGCTCCTCTCTCCACCTACATCTCACCCTTGGGGCTTAGCCCAGAGCCCGCACAGACTGCGGGCCACTAAATCCTGTTCAAGAAGTCAATCTGGGTTTGAAAGTACCATCTTGGCATCCATGTCACAGATTTCCCCTCTTGAAGAAAGGACTTAATGTATGGACTAACTGACAGAAAGTCATCTCTCTATGCTTTCTCAGTAGACAAAGGCTTCAATAATCTCTAAGAAATGAAAAAGTGAGGGTTCTGTGATGACATTTCAGACAAGGTGACTGGCTGAGGAACGAGGTGTTCTGGATGGGGAGGGGCAAGGTGGGTAGGAGCAGAAGAGATCATTTCAAGGTCCTTCAAGTCAGACCATGTCAGCAATCCCTGAAGTCTGTTTGCTCGTTACAGGCCTGAGAAAGAACAGTCAGGCCCTGGTCTCTTTCACTTGATTCTGGGATGGCCTTTAGCTTCTAAGGGGCCATATAGTTTGTCCTGCTACATATATATATAGCCCAGGAACCTGGCATTACCAAAAAGTGAATTATTAAAGCATCTGTCCTCCATGGAATTAAGGGCTAAAGAATTTCCAATTCTCAATTAAGAAAATGATTTTTTTCCAATAGGAATTCCCAAAGTAAAGTTTTTAAGATAAACAGTTACACATATAGTTATAAAAAGGCAAGCGCCCCTGAATAAATCCAGAACCATATTTGTTATACGTGGCTTTTGTTCCATAGATGACTCATTGATGAGAGCCCACCCTAATGAGAGCCAACGTCTGCTCTGTGCTGTGTCTACACCATATTCAGTGCTTCACATGCATTTTCTTATTGCATTCAAGCCTATTTTTTGAACATCTACTATGTGCTAGGCTTTGTCGTAGGTGCTTGGAATAAAAACAGAAAAAGTCCTTGTCCTCAAGGACTTTATATTGTAGTGAAATGTCATCTTCCTAACACTGAATCCTCACTACAACTCCACAAGGTAGGGGCTGCTATTCTTTCTACTTGACAGATAAAGAAACTGAGGCAGACAGAAGTTGTTCAAGGCCTTTCTTTTCTAAGGCTACCAGCAGGTGGCCAAGGCTTCTCACACATTCTAACTAGTTACCACCCAAAGCACAATGCCACTTTAACAAAGGAGTCAGTTCCTGATTTACTGGTTGATACATTATAATCAAAAGCTCTTTGTGAAATTTCAAATCTTGTTCCCTAATTAATCGAGCCCCTTACAATGGACATACTTTCTCTAGGAGAAGCAATTTTATTTTATATTTTATTCTTGACACACTTGATAAAGGAGCCCCAGTTCTCATGGTCATAGCCACAGAGCATTGATTTATACTCACTGTAGAATAAATCGATGACGTGCTGGAAACCAAGGAGAGCGAGGATCCGTGAACTATTAAAAAAAAAAAAAAAGGTGAATTGCACAGCTGGCTACTATGAAGACAAAAAGGGAGAGAGAAGGAGAAACTCAGCACTATGGGATACTACCAGGTAACTTAATCTCACCTTGACCCACCTTTTCCTGGTTTGGCGATAGGTCAGAGTCAAATAAGGAATAATTTGCTAAGGGAGTCTCTTTTCCTTTACCTCTTTTTTTCCCCTACAACCTCTACGTACTTTTTTCCCCTATGAAAATAATACATGATTACTAAATAAAAATTTTCAAGGACAGGAAAGTGTTAGGAAAACATATTCACTGCCACAGCCCACATGACTCATAATTCTATTACCCACTGGCAGCCTGTGACATGTTCCATCCCAGCACATTTTACTCCTTTCTTTTATTCTCCTGTATTCCTCTAGAGTTGCGACTGCGTTGCATGTATGTTTTATACCCCGCTAGCATCTGTCACGTGTGTTGCAAAGATGAGCCCATTATTGTGAACAAGGAGGCTGGCTGTTGGCCACAGTCAACTTATTCTAGATGAACATGTCATGGAACACTTGTTTAGAAAACATTACCTACTGAAATAGAGATTCTTATTTTGATTTCTACCATGTGTACAAAATGACAAGCAAGTGGTGTCCTCTTTTCTGTTTCTGACTGGTTCTTTTAACTTAGAACCATCTTCATACCCTCTTTGTACCCCTTCCTGCCCCCAGCCAGTAGAGATATTTTATTAGTTTTCTGTAATTTTAAATCGTGGTCTTTTCTAGGACTAAGTATTCTGACTTCTCTTTCTGGGAACCAAATTCTTTAATGACATTTTCCTAGTAATCTCTTGACAACTTTTTGAAAGACAAAAATATGCCTGTGGAGACATCAGAGGCGCTTAATTGGGCACAGCTTTCCTGACCACAAGTCGAACATTCTACCCCCCACACTAGCTATTATCCCCTGTGGTCTGAGAGTGGGAGGCTTGGGAATAACTTTCCACGTGCACTAAACGGCTTACACTTACCACCCAAGAAGTGAACTCAACTTGGATGAGCTTTGGGCAGAAGCTACCTGCCCACGAGATATCTGACGAACAGCTCAGCCCACCACCCAGGTGCCTCCACACTGTCTTCCCATAAACCTCCTGACCTGCTCTTCCTTTATGTGCTCCTATCCCATTCTGAATCCTGCACTCCTCTCTCGAGCATGCCCTGCCTAGCACTTGGCCTCCTCAGAGTCTCTCCCTGTACTGTTCCCTTTGTTTAGGATGCTTCTCGTTTTTGCCTGTCCAAATCACCGGGATCAGCTCAAACAACGCCTCTCCATGGAGCCTTTCCTCGGTTCCCTTCCTGCCTGCACTGGATGCACTTCCTCCCTCTCTGAACCCACCCAGTTCTTGACTTGCCTGTCTGGCCCTCTTCTCTCCTGGAAGGTGCCTGCTCTTCTGAGGCTATTGCTACACCATCACTCACAACCATCTTCCTTAGCAATGCCAGGGTTCTAGATCTTTTCCTCCATTCTTCTGCCATCCATGACCTCTCTGGCCCATGTCCCGTAAGAAATCAGTTTATGGCGTAATGGCCAATAATGGCTTTCCATGTTAATACGCAGACACATTAGCAGACGCCTCTCATGCCCCAACCGAGTGGCCTAATGTTCTAAAGGGGTAAGTTACTTTAGCCCCATGACACGGCCAGTAGGGGCAGATTATACTGGAAGCCAACTGGGGGAAGAGATGTGGCTAACATGCAGCTACCCTCCAGCTACACCTTTCCATCACATCACCTGCTCAGCCGGCACAGGGCTGCCACATGGAACTAGGCTGCTGGAAAGCGGAAGTTTGTCTCTTCTACCTCTCCAGCTCATACGCACAAACTTACGGACACTGCCCTCAGCAATATCCCGGTGCAGACCCGGGGACGCAGGCGAAGAGCGCATCTGGCAGGCTTCGGTGGAGGTAGTTCTTTTTCTCTGTAATTAACCCCTCTCACTTGGTGAATAGCAACAGCAAGGCTGTGGTCCAAAGAAAGATTCCTTGATTTTCAGCGTCAACTCCAAACTGAATGTGGCTTGCCTGAACCATTGCAGTGGGCCTTGCTCCAAGTGAGCTGAACCAAATCAGAACGTGGGTATTGTGGCTTGCATACTTCTGGACAGCAAAAGGCACACAAGCCTTACAAAGCCAGAACGGCAAAGCACACCATGCGTTTTCCGCCCTATACGTATACCTCTAAAATTGTGAAGCTATGAGGAATCACAGAGACTTGTCTAGGCCATCTCTGCACCTGAGGAATCTGAAATCCAGAGAGGTTAAATGGTCTGCTTAAGGTCACACAACGTTCAGGAACAGGATCTGCTGACCAGAAGTATGGAGACTGTTTTGCCCTTGAGAGACCCGATTTAGGGGTTTCTGGGTTGTTTTTGTTGTTGTTGTTGTTGTTTTTGTTGTTTTGTTGAAGCCTTTTGGTATGTTTTAAAATGGTTTACCCAGCCCCTCGTCCAATCTACACAGACACAAAGCTGGAACCAAATGAGCAAAAAATTGCATGTTTGAGAAAAACATGTTTTCACCCCTCAGGTACAGCTGATTATACATACATGCTCTAGACAGAATGAAACAACTGGGCATCTTCCAGCCAATAAAGCAACCCAAGGCCTCTGATGGCACACTTGGCATCTCACATATACCTTCAGCTTCATACTCATCAACGCACTTTCTCATGTATACTATTGTTGGAAGTGATCCTCATCACTTCAGAAAATTTATAGGTAATATTCCCAGACAGGGCAGGGGTTTGTACCACTAATACACAAGAGAGTAAATTAAGACCAGAGAGGCTAAGTGAAGCGGCCGGGCACACACAGCTGGTTAGGAGCAGAGAATGTGCATCTGGGCACTGTATCCTAGTTCTTCTCCACTGCTGGTACTATCAGAGGTACTAGAAGTAAAGGACCTCCCTCTGAACCAGCAAAGGAAGCAGAACTGAAAACAGAGAACACACTGATGAAGGATCTGAGTCCGCCTCACACAGGTAAGAAAGCCCAGCTGTGACCAACAAGGCAGAACCAAATGTCAAGGTAGGACTGAAGAGGAAAACAGAGGGCTGACAGTCAAGAGGTTAGGACTGAGTCCTGGCTGCACGAAGTCCCCAAGGCACTTCTTTGGTCTCAGTTTTGCCATAAACAAAACAGGGATGTAACGCCCTTGGGGAGAAGGAGAAAACAAAACATGACAATTGTTAACAATGGCTACCATTGACTGACTACTTACCATAACCTCTTTCAAAGTCATTTTGCATTAGATGCTTTCCGGGGATTTATCTCACCTAATCTTCACTTCAATCCTCTGAAGCAGGCACAATTATTTTCTACCTTTTAGTGAACAGGAAATAGGCTGAGCAGGGTCAGGTCCCTTTCCCCAAGTCTCTTTGCTAGCAATAGACATGCCAGGATTTCAATCACAAGTATAACTCAGGGGCTAGAAACCCAAGTGAGTTGCAAATTTATTTATTAATAAGCTGCTCTGTTCCTATGGATTCCATATGAACTGCTTAAGATTGCACTAGCAATTAGGGATGATTGGTAAAGTCCCTGGGCAAAGACATCCATTTTCAAAATGCCTCAAGCATCTCCCTAAATGTATGCTATTAAAGTTGACTCTAAGATTGCATAATGTATCTGATGGAAATTAATTTACCAGAAATAACTTTGAAAGGTTGCATCTGGGCCATGCCTGTACCTAATCTACATATTTATGACTCCCACTTCCTTCAAAATGGAAAGTGCTAATTAAATCCCACAAAAACCTCACCCGAGTACTTGTGCTAATTCTTCTTAAATTTCTATCCTGCTTTCTGGCATACGGCATACCTAACTGACTCTTATAAGGAGGTTCTGTTTTGTCCAAACATGAGATGTGAAATTTTCCCCGTTTCTATAACCCTGGGAGTTAGAAATTCAAAAGAGGGGGGCGGGGAAGCCTTCACCCAATGGAATTAAAAACACCTAATTGCACGAGCTCTATTTTGTTTTTGTGATGTAATAGCCCTGGAAGGAATAAAAGCAATTTGATGCAACATTCCCAAAAGATGAAAATGTTATGTGTTCACAGTATATCGACAGCAGTCCCTACCCTCTACCCCCCAAATTTGATTTTTACCTCTGCCCTTTAGTTCCACGTCACCATGAATCATTAGGGTTTACAGAAGTCTAGACACTGCTTGTGGGCAAGCACTTTTAATCAACATCACTTTGACATCCCAGATATTCCACAGTGGGGTGCTGCCTGACAGCTTGGTTCCAGATGGAATAAATAAAAGCTCTCTGATGATGATACTGTAATGGTGCCGGATCTTTATGAGGCGAAGTGTGCTTGTTTGGACAAGTTTCAGTCCTGAACACGGTTCACTCAGGTACACACATGACAGAGAAGATGAATATGGCCCAGGACACACTCCATATGTGAGTCGTCACCAGGCGGGCTGGGGAATGCTCTGTGGCCATGCTTGGCTAGCTCACGGACTAGAAAAAAGTTCAAGACCAACTGCCTACACCTTCACCTTCGGGTCAATGTATCCACCACTATGACCGCCCGGGGTGGTTACAGCACGCGTTTCTAGCTCTTAAATCCAGAAGAACACTCTTGGTAACTCTGGCTCCATCCCTCCTTAATCCTGTGTCCCAGCAGGTTCCATATGTGGATTTGCAGACTTGCTCACTGTAGCTCACTGGGTGAAAGTGACACATAAATCAGGGTGAAGGGAGTGACGTCGCTAGGAAGATGGACCAGGGGGCAAGTGCCCTGTAACTAACCCCTTTACCCTTTTTATAAGCAAGTACACTGGGCAAAAGCAGAAGCCTTTATTCTGTTTCTTTCCCTCTCAGCTTGTGTAGGGATTTCTTAAACAAGACAAGTTTGGGGGCACCTGGGTGGCTCAGTCAGTTAAGCGTCTGCCTTCGGCTCAGGTCATGATCCTCGAGTCCCGGAATTGAGCCCCGCATCGGGCTCCTTGCTCAGCAGGGAGCCTGCCGATCCC